ACCGCGCAACCAAGAATGAATGACTTGCCAATGTTCTCCTCGGTTTTAATGATGAGAGAGTAACACACGGCTTAAACTAGCGGGGTTTCTGATTTCGGATAATTCTTCAGATGCGCAGGTTCCCCCATTGTCAAGTTCCTCCCAAAGCTGATGGAATTGTCCAAACCTTGGGAACAGAAGGTAAAAAGCACTCAATCCATTGCGGCTGTGAATGGCCAGGTGGAAATAAGACAGTTTTCTGATGAAGAAATCCATTGCGTGGTCACGGGAGGCCGGGATGGAGGGGGGATCCCATTATTATGCGCAACGCATCGCGGGTCTTGGATGCATTATAACTGAGACCTACATGAGAAACAGCTTGATCAAAGCATCAGGAAAAAGCCAAGTCAAATTTACTATTTGTCATCATCGCGGAAGTCTGGGTATTTCTTGCAAAATGTGGCTTCTTATCGCCCTCTGCTTCCGCCTTTACAACATCATCTTCTTCTGTTTATGAAGAAATTCTAGATCTATTACCTCAAGACGATGGTATGCTAAAAGCTGCTGATATGGATGGGCAGGCAGCTATCATTTTACTACAGAATGTAGGGGATGAAATATTGCAAAGGAGAGGCTGTATGCTGTGAAAGCCTGTCCCCTATGCTATTTGCCATAGCAAATAATCAGTTGCTTCATCGAGGATGATACAGATCACTCCATTCGTACGAATACAGACGAAGGTTGTCAGTGGCTCCTCTACGCTTGTCTGCCTCAAGGGCAAATAAAGAAATAGCGCAGCTGTTCAATCTGAGAGAACAGTTGATGAAGGGCTGACCTTTCTCGATTCTGGCTGACGGCTCCAGATAGGGCTCCAGATAGAAGCGTCAAGGGAATAATACACTGTTCAGCTGATAGAACTGACTGTCTGCTAGCAGAAGCAGAGCAAGCCCAATGGGAGCCATGTTCTTCTGGATGGGGATCACTTTTCTGAACTTCACTGTGGACATGTGAAGGTTGTGTTAAGTGCTCCTTGCGTCCGAACTGTGCACTGGTCGACCGGTTTGTTCTTAAGATTGGAACATGGTGGTGATTGCAAGGACATGTTTTTTGAATTTTGGATGGGTTGACACCGCCAGCCGCGGGTGCTATGAACAGCCACAGGGGCGGCTGTCTGGAAAGATTCCTCGAACCTAGAGGATTCCGGTACGAGTGTCGAAGTTAAGCATGGGTTGCGGGGAATAGGGTCGAAAAGATGTCTATTTGCTATGGAATGGAACTGATAGCAAATATACCAATGCTCAAAGGGTTTGGAAAGGATATAACGCCTCCTTGTTTCTGCTGTAGAGTTGAACCATTCTCAGGCCTTGAAGGAGCGAAGGATCTCTCGCGAGAGCAGATGAAACCGGGGCTCGGAAACGTCAGGCCCGCACTAAACCAACTAGTTAGTTAACTACGACCTGCTGCTGAATCAGCCCCCACGTAGCTTGGCAAAAGCTTAGCTTCAACTTTGGGTAACCTGAACGCACGAACATTTGTTTGAAGGGTCAAATCTTCAACTTCCGTTCGCATTCTGTTTGATACACAGTGACTATTATCCCTTGACGCTAAATGCCCACTGCAAAAAATCAGTATGGTACAAATTCAACAAGTAGCTAGAATCAAATTTCAAATATATGAAAATCAGAGGGTCAATTCCGTTCAGATATTTTAAAATCGCAACCTATTGCGGAAATATATTCTGAGGAATCATCGGAACTCGGAGACTTCAGATCCCATAATTTTTGCCACTACTATTGCTTATTTTAGAGCTTCCATTCCCTGATTTCATTCCCTTTCATGCATGTAGAGATGCTAGCAATAGCATCAACCTCTTAGACACGTATTTCCACTTGGTGCTGTTGATTTTGTGGGTTAGGTCGTAAACGAACAGTATATTCTTCGAACAACCAAGCAGGCTCTGCCTCTTTTAAGTGCGCTAAAGTACTCATCGTTCAGTAGAAGTGTCCGTAGAAAGTGACAAAACGTCAAGATTCTCTTGATTGACCACCGCCTGGAAGAGTTGTAAATATAACTAAGTTACATGCGAGATTCCCACCACTGAGCTGAAGTAACATAATCATGCCCATCTCGCAAAAGGACGACCAAGAGAAAGATCCTTCCAACTGCTTGGCTATTTAAGGGTTTCAATTTCCCCTGTGCCTGTATTGATATTTTGCGGTTCCATCTGGTCTTTCCCGGTAGACTGGTTATGCAGTGGAACGAAACAATTTTTTTCGTTGTATACGGACCCTTTTTTTAATCGGGATATACCAGTAACTCTGAAAATGTCACACGTGTACATTCGTCTTCTCGGGCTAGAAACTTGTGCGAATATTTATAATTCGCACTTTATTGGTCAGGTATATGGGTTGGACCACACAAAAATGGCACACGTCGATACAGAGGAGTTGGGCTTGTGAGAGATATTTATGGTATATGACTTCTGAAGTAGCGAAGGATCCAAGACGATAAGATAATATCCATCTTCGCTCAGTGTGGTGGTTCGTGTTGTAGCATCTCCTTATCCTCAAGACTCGATGGCTTTCTGCATTTGAATTTTGCCCATCTGCCGTACCTAGTGCTCCATAACAATGCAAACCGGGAACGTATCTCCAGCTCCATGTTAGACAGCAGCGTTATCCCAAAAGGTTTTCAAGGTAGTTTGGCTCATCATTGGGACATGAATAAACGTTCTGTGGCCTTCCAGTGGAAGGTGATATAATTCGCATGACTTCAGCACCATCTCTTGTTGCTCTAAAACTCCTGCCATGCACCAATTTCCGAATATGAGAGGAGATATAGTATATAAAGCGTAATAATAGATTCATTGCAGACAAATTCCATTCAATAACAGACCGGATGCCAAGGTAGCTTGTGGATTAGACCTCTCTGATGACTGCTCGGATGCAAAACGTTCATCCCCGATAAATTGTTTGGCATGTGCCAGCAACCAAGATGCCTCTGAGTACTGTTTCTGCTCGAGGAACAGCTGTGCGGCGTCCAGCGATAGTCGCAACAGATGTTTCCGTCTACCGGGACGGATTTGTACTTCAGGTTGTAAGGACATGCGTTTGAGATAAGATAATGCTGGTTGGGCGTCTGGATTGGTTGGGTGGTATAAGGGTAAACGTGCTCCCCAGAAAAAAGTGTCCTTGGATAGGTGGTCAGAGAGCCTGCAAAATTCCTCAAAAAGCTCAACCGGAATCCCTTGAACATCAGGGGTTTGGCTATGACTCGAAATACACGCGGCCAGTTGACATCCTGTGCTTCGCAATGCGGCGCAAAATGGATTTCTCCTCCCGTTCCAGAATTTATCGCCAGGAGGTAATAATTCACAGGTACGAATAAAGTATTTCAAGGCGGATTGAATGCCATGACCATGTTTTATCTCAGCGGTGACGAATTCATGCAGCAGGTTCGTTAAGCAGAGGCGGCGGGAGGGTAAGAGGGTATTTGCCAGTTCCCGGGAGAAGTCAGGCGATATTGGGGTAGACAACATCTTTACCCAATCCATAATTACGTATTGCAGTCGGCCAGCAACCATATACGGCACGACCATAGACATGGTAACACAACTTCCAAAAAAACATAGTCTTGATTTCAAATCCGCAGCGGAATACCACGCAACGATCCTCGAGCCCACTGTTGACGACTCAATGGCATTGGATGGTTTTGGCGAGAAGTGGGGGAGCGAACTGTGGGCTTTAAGGCAGCTTAATAGGGTATTATGGTCGGCTCGCCCAGATGCGATCAACTCGTCCAGCAGTCCTAGAGGATTCTCTGATAGTTTCCTCTTCACATTTGGTGTATCTTGGACCTTATCTTGTTGGCCCTTCCGTGGCAATGGCTTGTCGGGAATGATTCGGAAAAGAGGATGGTCGAGGATTGAACTCAAGTGCTTCTCCGTATCTTTATTTAAGGTGCTGTGTGTATTGCTTGGGTTATCGGGATGGCACTTGGGTGTCGAATATTCTGTCGATCGCACGGAAGGCTGATTAGGCTGCTGGCCGCGGAGGAAGGGCAGAAGTCGACGGGATTCCTGCGCAAACTGGGCAAATGAGGGACGCTGTTTGGACAATGGCCTCAGGCAGATGGCTCTGGTAGCCTCCATTCTATTTCATAATTTAGCCCGCTGGGGGTCCCTTCGCAATTGAGGAGAAGAAGAAGAAGAACAAGGAAAAATAAAATAAAATAAACACAAATCTTCTATTCACAGTGGGATTCAGTTGCCCGTTTTCCAGCGCAGGGGCTTGATCAGTGTTTGAGAAGTAAGAAGTTGTTACCAAGGAACTGTAGATGAGGGGGGCAAAATGGAGATCAGTGGATAGGGCGAACCGTAGTGCCACTTTGCTTGGAAAACCAAGGCCAGATATGTATGTGAATGTGTCAACTAGATAGAAACAATTGAGATAAGAAAGAGACAGCTGATAAACAATCCAGACTCTTATGCCTCCATGGATCTCTATATACATCCCTCATGGTGACTACATCAGTGACAGATGGTGGTTGTTGTTTGTTCGCTGGTGGTTAGCTTTCCCGACTTAGCGCCTGGTTGCGTAAACTATTCCTCATTGAGACTGGCGTGATCAGCCGCCGAACCAGCCTTTTCCCTGAGCCTCAAAGAAAGAACGAAACGCGAAACTTTTTGCCTTCCACTCACCCATCTCCCGCCATCAACATCCTCCCTCGACTGCTCACATCTCTCTCTCTCTCTCTCTCTCTCTCTCTCTCTCTCTCTCTCTACTGTCTCTCCTGGGCTCGTTCTCTAGCTACAAGAGACCCTGCCTCTCCTCTTGCTGTTAGCTCTTGTCCCTTTGCCTCCATCCTCGGTCTTATCGTCAGCTTCCCTTTCTCTCCCTACTCCATCTTGTTACTCCCTGACCTCGTCAATTCTCGCTCTTACACTCCCCCCCTCTCCTGGCACACTAGCCTGGCTTCTTCCTCGCATTCTTTAATCCGTTTCTTTTCACAATCAGACAGCCATGTCCGAAGTTCAATCTAGGCCATCTGCCCCTCGCGGTCGAGGGTCAGCTCGTGGCGGTAGAGGAGGTTACAGTTCCAGAGGTGGACGATCCAGCAAGCCTACCAATGCAAATTCAGAGAATAACCCCACCCCATCGTACGAGGACGAAGGAGAAATTGGGCAGCTGAAGAAAAAGCATGCCACCAGTCTAATCACCATAAAAGAGCTCTTCGCAGACTGGACCGATGAGGACCTAGTTTTTGCCCTGGAAGACGCCAATGGAGATCTAGAGATTGCGATTGAGCGCATCACTGATGGTTAGTATGGTCCATTGTCTTCTGTGGCAAGATGTTATGGGTTTGTAGAGTTTAATTCAATTTTGGTATTGACTGGTTTTCTTTTATTGTTTAGGCAATGTGTCGCAGTGGGGAGAGGTCAAAAAGAAGCACACCGATCGATCGCGTGCCAAGCCAAAAGACCCTCTCTCACAGGCAGACTCTCTTGCTGCTCTTCCACCAGCCCGTGGAGGTCGTGGCCGTGGAGGAATTGACATTCGTGGTCGTGGTCGGGGTGACCGTGGACGTGGAGGGCGTGGCGGCAGAGCAGGCGTCCATGTCAATGGAGCTCGTACTGAAAAGCCTGTGGCCCTGCCAATTGAAGAGCCAGAGAGTGCTCCTGTATCTGACGCTTGGAGAAAACCAGGAGAACCTGTGTCTACCACTGGAGACAAAGTGATTTCCACCGAAGCAGCCCCGTCCACTATTACGAAGGAGCCCTCATCAGAAGCATCTCCACAGAAGAGCAGCCTGATCCCAGAAGGCTCGAAGAAAGGCTGGGCTAGTTTGTTTGCTCAACCAGCTCCACCTCCACCTCAGAAGAAGGCTCCCCCACCAGCTTCGGCAGCCCCAGTGCAGCCTGCCGAACCACAAGTCATCGAGAAGCCCATCGAGCAACTCTCTCAACAACCAAAACCTGGCCCTGAACAGCCAACTGCACAGCCCTCAGAACCATCGACCACTACTACATTACCCCAAGCGCCCGTTCCAGTGATACCAAAGGACGAATTGACTCAGTCAAACCTAGAGCGAGTTCCGGATGTATCCCACCCACAGCCTAGCACGACAGCGGCTAGCACAATTGCCAGCATACAGGATCAATCCAGCGTGGTTGGTGCCGCTACCGCTCCACAGACCCGACCAATGTCGGGCTATGCCACAACTGCATATAAGGCTACAGCTGGGGCTGGACGCGCAGCAAACTTGCAGCGTCGTGTTATGGAACAACAAGAGGCCGTCGTCATGCCGGGAAACCATGCAGTCGATCGGGCTGCTGTCCAGTTTGGGAGCATGGGATTGAACGGACCAATTGATGACGTAGATATTGACGACGAGAGAGAGGAACCGGAGACTCGACATCAGCCTCCCCAGCACTCGCCCGTCGCACCTCGCGCCTCGCTTCCTCCCGCCACCCAAACTCAGACACATAAACCCCAGGTCCATCAAGCCCAATCAACCCAGGGACAAACTCAAGCAACAGCGGAAGCTATTGCTGTTCCCCGCCCGGCTCCTGGACTTCCTCCTGTGGCTGCAGCTACTTCCACAGACACCCCGTTCAACGATTTTGCGCGATATACAGAATCGCAAAAACAATTTGATCCCTTCAGTCAGCAAGTTGAGCAGGCCCCCCAACAACAGAACCAGGAACCCTTCACCAACCAAGCTCCTATCGCATCTCAACCCACACCAACTACCGCTGCAGATTACTCGGCATTTTACGGAGGTGACCAAGCACGACATCCTTACTATTATGGTTCGTACAACTCCCAAGACGGTGTTGCAACACAGCAGAGAGCTGGTAGCGGATTTGGCGGTGTTAGCGGTGCTGATGCCCAGCCCCAAATCGCTTCCACCCAACCACCAAGCCGATACAGCCATGTGGAAGCTCCTAACAGTGGCCAAAATACGCCTAACCCAACTCTTCCCGGTCAAACTGCCCAACCCAATCAGCATTTACCTCAGGGACAGGGTGCTCATAGTGCCTACAACTATGGTTACCCCTATTATTCTAACCCACATTATGCGAATTCGTACATGAATCAAATGAACCAGCATCAATATGGAAGAAATCGTCCTATGTACGATGACGCACGGAGGTACGAGGAACATTACCTTCACAGCAACCAGTTCGGTTATGGAAACCAGTATGCGGCTCCATACGGCAAGGGAGCCGGCATGTACGGACAGCCTCAGCATGGTTTTTCTTATGATCATGCCTCCACTCCTGCTACCGCAGCTACGTTTAACCAGGGTGCCCCCGGCCGCGAAACTGGGTACGGTCGTGCGGGATCGACCCAGCCGTCGGAAGCCCAAACATCGGGCCACACCGCCTTTGGAACTATTCCTGATGTCTTCGGGCGGACTCAATCAGGATTTGTTCAAAGCCAACCCATCGCCCAGCAACAGCCGGCCAGCGCGGAAGAGGCGGCAAAGGGTTTCGAAGCACCCAAGGCAGGCGGCCCAAGCCCTTCACTAGCTCAAGCAAACCGTCCTGGATCCGCAACTAACAGCGTCCCCGCTCAACCCCAGGCTGGTCAGGCCGGTCTGCCCCCGGCGCAAGGACAGCCAACAAGCCAGCAGGCATTTGGCACGTATCCACAGCTTAACCCACAATACGGTGGACTTGGAGGCCTTGGAGCGCACCACCAACAGGCTGGCGCCAATGCAACTCATCACCAGCAAGCTAGCGGATATGGCCAGTACGGAGGAGCAGGGTTCGGCGGCAACTATTATGGAAATACCGGACGCGGTGGAGGATGGGGCGGCAACTATGGTCATTAAGAGGTCATAACAAGAACCAAATAGGCAAAAGAAGAAAAAGCTTGGATGGGTTGGTGAGTCCCTTGAGCACAGTTGTTAGGCCTGGGGCTTCTCTTTTTTGCTATCCATGTGTAATCTCTTCTCTTTAACTGGAGTTTTGGGCATGTTCCCTTGTTGTGTTCACTTCAATGTGGCTTTTTTTCATTTTCATTTTTCGTTTTATTCTCTCAATATTATTGGTTACCTGGCATGAGGCTATATTTTTTTGCGAGATCAACTTCTCCACCCAAACCAAAAAAAAAATAACTGTGCCTGATGTTTCTGTTTTCACCCTTCATTTGTCCTCAGCTGTTTCATTCTCCTCTTTCCTCTCATCATCGTTTTCCTTATCTGATGCTCTTGTTTTTCACTTATCTCCCACCACTCTATCCAAACACAATCACAGACAACTGCAGACAAAACCGCAGACAAAACCGCAGACAAAACCGCACACATCATGATGATGATGACCCCTTCTTGTACCAACTATTACAAACTTTCCGTATTCAGGAGACTGGACTGGCTTGCTTTTTCCCTTTTCTTTATTTCATAAACAACAGCTTCAGTTGATGATATGGAATGACAGGCATGCAAAACAGAATGACTTTTTTTTTTTTACCAAGGCACACCCCATTTCCTCATATCTTTTGCCTTACACTTTTATTGATTGAAAAGGCTTTGTCGCAGAGTCTGACGCCAAAATGAGAAATATGCATTTGCTGTCTTCCGCTTCTCCCGTCGCCATCATTCTTTCTTGCTTGCTCCATTTCTACTATATGATTTTTTCAGAAGGCCTGGTTGAAACTTCTAGGCCCGTAGTTTCATAGAGACCGACCAGGAAGTAAACGCGATAAGAAGTTCCTTGGGGAATTAGCAGGGGTGTACGTTGCCCTTTACATGGTCCCCCGCATTTCTACATTTCTGCAGTAAATAGTGAGGTTTCCATATTGAGTATCAGAGCAGCGTAGTGACGAAGATCAATCTAATGGATTGTCCCAGAGGCTCGTCGGGGAATAATACTAGGCGGAGCGAATGAGCAGACTGCACACGGAACTAATCTGGGGGATTTTCCTGGAACCTAATGAGGCTTCCAAGAACAGGAAACGTCATGGCGTTGTATGTGAGCAAGCCCGGCCGGCAAAGAGAAAATAATAATACTGAAAAAGAGAGGATTGTTGCATGATTTCAATGGCACCTGTTAGGGCTTGGTGAGTTGGTGACTCCAGGTGTGTTCGTATTTGGTGACGTTGGCCTCTGACTTCGGATTGGCTGTCGGTGCGAGCGCGAGCCGCATTTCCTCTCGGCTTGCCAACTTCTGCTGTTCCTGAATCCCGATATCTACCTTGCAAAAATCCTGAGTGGCACCAACAACATCAACGACGTAACTAACTAGTGCAATAAAATTAATAATAATACCCTGGAACAGTCTGATGGTAAGGTTCAGGATGTTTGCACTATGTATGCTATCGAAGGTCCAATTGCTTCCTGGACACGGGCTAGCCACGGCCAGTTGCGACGCTTCCCTTTCTGAAGAGACGACTTTGTTTTCCTGTAATGGTACGTTCCCAAGTTCATAGCGCCAGCATCTGCTAACGGTTTCGAATATGAGTAGCTCCGAAATTGGCGTTTGTGCATCTCAGCACTTAATAAGTCAATAATGGCCCCTGCTCAGACGACAATTCCAAAGTTAGCCAGGTCCTCCGCATAGCTCGACCAACCAGCTTGAGCTTGTGTGCTCTGTTAAACGACCACCCTCGTCTTGCGTGGCTCACTTGCGAAAGCTGGTGATGACGCGGAGTAGCAGAACGGTAGTCATCGTATACGAGCTAGAAGCGTTTCCCAACAGCAACAACAGCAGGAAGAGGTACTCTTCAAGCCATTGGAAGCAATTACGACTGTCTCATGGTTTCTTTCGCAGTTTTATTGGTCCTTGTCGGCTGCGCTGCTCCAAGGGGAGATAATGCGATATACTCCGTACTGCTTACATCTTCATGCTTCATGGGTTGATATTGACCAGACAGCCATAGCTCCTGTTATTTGTTATCGTCTCTATTTTAGTTCAGACTATTTACAAGGCAGTTTGGTCAAGATGGGCGTCAATTATTCAGTTAGCGGACGGGAGAGCTTTGGGGTTGTATATATAATCTCCATGCCCTCCCTCTGCTTTTAGGCAATTCCACCAGTCAAAGCAGCAATTTCATTTCTTTCAGTCATCGGAGCTCGACAGCTCTTTGCTTTGCTCTTCTTTCTATTCCCCCTCTTCCTGTCTCCATATCCCCCCCCCCCCCCTTTAATTTTTCTTTTTTGGGCTCCGGCTTCGTTGAAGGGAAAAAAAAAAAAATGAAGAACGTTTGCCGTTTGTATTTGGATAATGATGACACCGGTTGGGGCTACTGTCCCTCCATCCCGGCAGCTATTCTCTTTGCAGTGCTGTTCGGATTGACATCGCTCGTCCATATGTTTCAATGGCATACCTTTCGAAAGGTATAATTAATCTTGCAAGAATCTTTTCTCCCATCTCCTCGCTTTGTTGTCATCCATTTTCATTCCTTGAAACATGTACTAATCAAATATGCTAACATAAACTGTTTCTACCCTCTCTACCAGAAATTTTGCTGGGTGATAGTAATGGCTGCTCTATGGGAGACAGCCGGCTTCACATTCCGCATAATCTCCGCACACAAAATCATTGGCCTATGGCACTTCATTCCGCAGCAACTATTCGTCGTTCTCGCACCTGTATGGCTCAACGCATTCGTCTTCATGGTCATGGGACGGATGATCTATTTTTTCATTCCGGAGAAGAAGATCTACGGCGTCAGCGCCAAGCGGATAACGGTTATCTTTGTCGCGCTGGATGTCTTCTCCATGATCGTGCAGGCTTCCTCGTCTAGCTTTATGACATCAGATGATCGCGATCTAGTCAAGATTGGCATCAACGTCTGTAAGCATTATGATGTGTTTTCTGTCTCCGAAATACACCCAATCCTCACACTGCTGGCCCCTCCCAGCGTACGAGTTCATGCTAACGCAGTTTTGAATACAGACATGGGCGGCATCGGCCTCCAAGAGCTCTTCATAATTCTCTTCTTCGTCATGGCCGGCCGCTTCCAATACCTAATGACCCAACTCGAAATCCATCAACCACAACATCTCCCCTGGCGCCGCCATCTCTACTCTCTGTACGCCGCACTAGTCCTAATCACCATCCGCATCATATTCCGCTTAGTCGAGTACTCAAGCGGCACAGAGAGCGGTCTTGCCATCAGCGAAGCGGCCTTTTATTGCCTCGAGGCCGTGCCTATGTTTACCGGTCTGGTTTTGTTTAACGTTCTGCATCCAGGACATATCCTTGTGGGGCCTGAAAGTGAGTTTCCCAAGAAGGCTAAGAAGAGTAAGAAGGACAGGGAGGCGGGGATGGACGGGCAGAGGCAGTCCTGGAAGCGGCTGGGTCTACGTGGTAAGGATATCGAGTCGGGAGATGATTCGAGAAGCGGAGGGGTTGCGGATGCAGGATCGGGTTAATTCTTGTCATGAGGCATCTATGAGGACGTCATCGCCGCTGCGGGAATCACCGCATACAGCACGATATTCTTCTGATCAGCATGCAGGATGGATAGGAGGCCGCTCTTTTTTTTTTTATTGGCTATTCAATTTTTCCTACTTCCGAATTGCGTTTCCAGTTAGTGGTTTTTCCTTTTTGTATCTTATGTTTTACATTGAAGTGCTTGATGTTTCTTGTCTTCTACGTCTCCGCACATATATGACCACCTCCTGTCCTGGCTTCTCACATATATAATTGAATGATAGTTAATGTTTTTATAGTGTAAATAAAATCATTGTTATTTGCAACTCAAACTTTTTCCATCTTGACTCCGCTTTTACAGAAATGATTAGTTACCTGGGCTTTTGACCTGCATAAGTTAGTTAATAATATATATATATATATCCATCAATAATATCATTGCTAGTTATTCATTACCTGTATAAAACCTTGTCAATTGTTTTGACCTCGTGAACGACACGATTATTACCATTCTCAAAAGAGAAATATAAAAAAGAAATACATTACTTGAAGTCTGAAGGAACCCCTTGCAATGCAAAAAATTGGAATGGAAAAGTTTTTTTACAAAAAAAAAAATAAATAAATAAATAAATAAAAAAAAAAAAATGGAGAGGCGGAAATCGTCACCAGGATGATTTCGAGCCTGCCAAGAAAATTTATAGAAAAGTGTCGATGGATCCGGTCCAAGGTTGAATAGACTGGATACTGAAGGGGGAGAAAGATAAGAAAAGAAGCAAAGAGAAATAAAATATGGAAAAATGGTATAAAGTGATGATCTCTCCGCTCAATTCAGTTTCTCAGCAGCTTTAGTGTTGCTTATCAACACCCCCCCCCCCTTTCGAGTTCCTCACTCACCTTGCTCGCAGCATCAGCTCCACCCGTCCCCACAACCTCCAAGGTGGAGTCATCGTCGTCCGCCTCTACTATCCCAAGCCCGCGTCCCCCTTCCTTATGATAAGGCGGGGTCGCATTCTTGGCCGCCTCAGGTGAAAACCTCCACACACCACCCGTCTTATCACTTTCGATACCACTACAGTTCGCATCTGTCCAGCCCAACTTGGCTGCCAATTTGAGGAACACCTTATCGTCCTTATTGGGATCAATGCGCTTAAAGAACCGCCTCTCCCACTCCCGGCCCTCTTCTTTTTCAATCCTGCGCAATTGGCGTTGGGCAACTTCAATCTTCGATTTTGCGATGGAGGTCGCGTCCATGTCTCCGCGGGCAATTGCGTTTGCAACGTCAAGCCATGCCCTGCGCGATTCGTACAGGTCTTGTTTTTCTAACGGGGCGATTGTGAGTGGTGTCTTCTTTTCCGTCTTCGCGCAGTATCTGTCTATCTCTTGCTTTTTGCCGCGGGCGGTTTTGATGATGAAGGTGTTCGACCATTGGCCGTCGACGGTGTAGAGGGGCTTCTTTTCTCCTTCGCTCTCATGGTACAGGATGGCGCTGAAAGAGCTTTTCTTCCCGCTCACCCAACCCTTGCCTGAGTATTCGATTTTGGAGACGTAGCCTGTGGAATTGACGATTTGGGTGTATCTGTTCAGTTCGATGAAGGGGGTTCCGTATATCAGGGATTCGATGTGGAGTGAGGGTAGAGTTATAAGGTATGTTTCCCGTTCTGGGGAGGGGTTGTCTTCCGTGGATGGCGGGGTTAGGGAGTAAATGGCATGGCCGATTTGCTTCACATTTATCGTGCTTGAGAAGGAAGCTTTTTGGGCGTTGTATCCTTGGAGCTGAATTTCGAGACAAGGGGTTTACGTTGTTAGCGTTCTTCTCGATCCAAGACCTTGCGGAGGGGACTGCAACTCACATGGACACCGTGCTTTTCATTGTCGATTGAATAGGCTGTTACAGGCGGGTGATGGCTACGCCGGAAAAAAAAAAAAAAAAAAAAAGGTCAGCTCACGGTTCAGAAATTCCTGAACATGTCTTATGAAGAGAACGATCCCACGAGCCTACGAACCTCACTTGCTCACTAATAAGCCGCGTCTCTCCAACATCGTCATCATCTTCCCACCTCCCCAGAAACAGCTCGCCCAGGAAAGGGTTCAATGGTTTCTTCTCGGTGCCCAACTTCTCGCTGCGGGTGCAATATTGCTGGTGGAGGGTGCTGAGGAACCATTTTAGCACTAGGAGCGCCCGTTTCTGAGGATCAGGTTCCTTGGCTGGAGCAACAAATAGCTTGGGATGTTCGGCCCAGTAGGCAGAGTATTCGGTGAGGGAGGTGGAGGAGAGAATAAAGGGGGGAGCGGTCAGAGAGGAGAGGTCGCCGTTGAATGAAGCGATTGACTAGAAACGGCCTGTTAGATATATGTGCTTTAACAAAATATCAGGGTTGTGTGCTGTAATGATCATATATTTTTCTTCTACAGTTTTATGCCATCACTTTTCAACTGATCTTCTTACCCTCAAGAACGACGACCAGGAGCCACGGCTGCTAGCGGGGACTCCGGACCCCTCTTCTTTCTGGGAAGCCATTGTCGGGGGACAAGAAGACGAGGACAGAAGTTAGATAGCCAAGTGAAAGCAGATACGGGAGCAACAAATGGGCGACAGATGATGAGCTGACAGTGAGCGTGTACAGAAGTAACCGCATGGACATCAACAACGGGTGGTATACAAGTGCTTATATCGTAGATTGGTAGATATGCGTATTTCCAGTGCTAGTCCGATCAACTACTGCAAGAAGGTCAGCCACCTCAGAAAATCAATCAAGAAAGATGTCAAAATGATCAGGTATTCCCCAAAGTTATCATAGATCCTTGCAATGTGTAGAATTCAATGAGAAATAATTAATTATTTATCTCTGATTGTTTTGCTAAGATTGAGTTTTTTTTTTTTTTTGTTTTTTGTTTTTTTTGTTCTCTGCAATTTTATGTTTCGTTGATTTCGGCTGCTCAAAACTCAAAAATCAAGAGTAGGTAACCAAACTACAGCAAATTAACTGCATTGGGTTTAGTGTGTTTTGGTGATGTTGATCAAGAGCAGGGCGGAGGTCACGTGGCTATCGTTGCGCTGTCTCCGTGCTGTGGGAACGTCTAGCGCGGGATGCTTATCACTGTGCGGTGCGCTAGTCCGTAATAGGAAGCCTAGGCTCCCAACATCTACATACTCTGGTCTGGTCACGTGCGGGGGCGGCTGCCCGGGCAACGTTGGCCCGGAGGGGCGCTTTGAATCGTCGGAGAAAAACAGAAAGACTCTCTGCACTGCCACTTGCCGTGTGGTCAATTAAACTGATTAAGGAATGAAAGTTAAATAAATAACTAACTAGTTAACTAGTTAAGAGGGTTGATAAGGTTTGGTTTGTATTAGTTAGTTACTACTTTAATTGAAAGTATAATGTAATCCAACCCCCGAGCGAACCACCAAAATCATCCATATTTCAACTAGCTAGAATTTAACCCGAAATATCCATACCAACAATGCCTTATTAAATTAATTTACACTAGAATTGGGGCATCTTGTTCTCTTATGACCAGGCAAATTGCAATTGCTGCACTGTTGTGGAACTCCTGAGTGTGATTGAGGTTCTGCAGATGGAGGCACAAGGGGTTGAATGACTGGCTGTTCAATGAGTGCAGCAGCTGGAATAGCAAGCTGAGTAGCTTCCTGTCTGGTTAAACCTCCTTCCTGTTGCATTCTTTGAACAGACAGACCTCTTGTGTTTTTGCTTCTCTTTCTCATTTGCATTGAACATATCCTGATGTTGCTTCTTCATAATAGTGGTGTTGACCATCCCATATTCACAGGCCTTGATAATTTGATCAAGGTCTTTCACTAAACCCTGAGACTGCTGACTCTTCATAAAGCTTTTGAACTTCTTGATCTGCTGTTGCAATTTCCACAGGTTGCTAGGTGTTTGAAGCACTGAGAATGAGATTGAATTGCTTGATCTGCTGGCTAGGGAGGTAGGAGTTCAGAGTTGAATATCTAGCTGCTGAATGACCTGATCTGGTTCAAATGGCACTATACCAGTAGCTCTGAAGTCACTTTGAATGTTTTGAGCTTTAAAAACTTCCATATGCACTGCAAAGTAGGCATCTAGAAAGTCTGTCTTCTTAATAATATTGAATTCAAGCTGCATTTGCTGTTCAATAAGACTGCTGTACATGTGTTTCAAAACTGCAAAAACACTCACATCTAGTGACTGCAAGAGATGTGAGAAATGCACTAGCATGCAGAGAGGAATAATCTTATTCTCCTTGCAGATATAGTCAAACTCTGAGGTAAGATGACTGCCATGCCCATCCAGGATAAGAAGAAGATAAGTGCCAATTCTGCATGGATTTGCAGCAGGAATAAACAGCCTAGTAAGCCATTTAACTCTGATCTCATCTGTAGTCCAGTCATTAGGGCTAACATCAAGCCTCCAGCCATCTGGAAGCTCATCAAACCAGCCTTCCTGGAGCTTCTGACCCTTAAGAATCACATATGAAGACAAGGCCCAGCCTGATGTGTTGACTGCCTCAATCACAGTCACTCATTCCTGATTTCCAGGCTGTAGAAGCTTTGCCCAGTCATAGCACTCATTACTAGTAATAACTTTAGTAGTGACACAGAGCCCCATTGCAAACCCAGTCTCATCAAAGTTGTATATATCTTCAGACACAATCTCATGCTCAGCAATTGTATCCTCCAAGGTCTTAAACCAAGCCTGAATAACTCTTATATCCTCACATTTAGCTCACTCATGATTATAGTGTCTGGAATAGTGGCAATGAAGCTCTGTACAGTGTTTAATCAGCTTGCAGATCCAGTTCTTGCCAACCTGGAGGGCATTGAAGTGGGTGGGTTAGAAAATTGAAGCTTTTTTGGATTTGATGGTTCGTTTGGGGGTGGATTACGTTATATTAGAGTTAACTAACTAGTTAGTTAACTAACTAGTCAGAAACTAATTACTAACCAACTAGCTAATATTATTCAGTTATTATAAATAAAATATAACTTAATATATAGTTACTTATTGGTACATGATGTTCATAATGCTGAGGAATGATGCCATTTTGAGTTCACGTCGTTATGACTCTTCTGCGTTTTCCTGCGCCGGAAAAGAAAAGAAGACCAATAGCCCAGACTCTCACATCTGGCTTCAAGAATTTTCCCCGATGATTTATTGCTCATTGGCGGATGTCGTTTCCGGACATCTCGCGTTGCCGATCGGTCGTCACCGCAACTGTCATTTGAGGTCGTTGGACTTGATATCAAACTGCCATTGACCTTGCAAGGAGCCCAGTAGCCCACGCCATGCAACATAGGGGAAGACATTGCTTTGATTTGATCTGATTACCCGGAGGAAGTCTGGTTGACAGAAAGGTAGCTTGAGAGTTGATTGCAGGAAGGCTGGCTTATCGTCCCACGGTTCTTCATTCACGAAGCCATCGCACTTTCTCGATTATCCCGTCAAATCCACCGCGTTGGTATCTTGCGGGATATGGATAACATGTATATATATATATATATATATATATATGTATATATATCTTCCCGTTTGCTTAGTGGTTTGCTGGCAGCCTATAGAGTAGAAGAGCAACGTTTTAGTATTCCGCATATATGAATGACATGTCTGCTGTGAAGATATTGTCAATGTTGCTGCCATGGAACATTTCCTTTTCCGTCGAGACGGGCATCTATGGAGCCAATGACTCCGAGTGGTTTACAGACCATGGAGTCCAGATTCAGGGGTGCGAAACGATGTGGGGACAACTTCTTCACTCGTTCCCAGTTATGTCGAGCCGTGCCCAGCCTGTAAGGAGGTGATTCCTATTGAATTTTGAGCCTCTCCCATCTTCCCTCGATTGTACCGTCCGTCCTGCAGATGCTTAATTTGTATCAAAATATCGACTCAGTCAACCGCAAACTCCCTTTTGACTCACTGACAATTGACACATTACATGCTTGATGCTCTGTAAATATTTCCCAAAGCCACCCCCACCTGCGCACTGTGTTCTAGCTACCGTTTTTGTTGTGTGGGTTGAGTCAGGGCTGATCTGATGACAAGTTACCAGCAAGCGCAATTTGAAAAGAAGAATGAAAAAAGACGGTGATTGGATGACAGTCAGAGATGCTACGCGTTTCTTATGCTTATCATCAAAGTACTGGAATCACCCGACTGCACTGCTCCGTGAAAACAGGAAGCCCCATCCATGTAAGCCATTCCAAATTGTGAGTTCATATATCGTGCAAAGACTCAATCCTCTGGATGGCTAAAATCGCATTCATCATGGCATTTTTGGCATGACAATAACCTGGTCGTTTTTCTGGATGCACCAGGTGTAACTAAACTTGGACCGCTTCGGTTGGTAGTTAACCTAATCCCTTGTCTCAAGTCTGTGGCTGCGAGTCAGGATGGACAACATGATGGTATGCTCCAACAGAACAGACCCTGAAACTTGTCGTGCAGATTAACTTTCAGCCAAGACCAGCCACATCGCGGGATCATCTGAAGCCGCTGCTTGCGCTTTGTCTTATTTTTAACTGGGGGGTTCTCCAGCCGAGCCGTAGCCCAGCCAAGACCTTAGCACATAGCGGGAGGCACCCCACCACCAAGGATATCGACGTAAAACAGTAAAAAGTGCGCGGAGAAATCAGATTCTTCTTCTTTATTCACGCGTATGGACTGGTAGAGTAAAAGGCTTCCATAAAATTCGCTGGTGATCATATGAGAATATACGCAGTAACCACGCGTTTCGTTAATTTTATTTATATTCCTCGTTCATGATCAATCACCACAGACATTTTTAGATGTGCATTAGGACACGGGAGTATGAAATCGGGAATTGCGATCCTTTGATCTGGCGTCATTGTCTTCCCTTAATTACTTGCTTGGCAAAACTCCATTTCATCCGCCCAAGTCTCTCGCTTTAAACCCACCTAATCTGTCAACCCAATCATCAAATCCCAGTGACGGGACGGGACGGGACGGGGACAGAGCTTGTCAACATGAGGGGTGCACATCGAAGAGGTGCATCCTGATTTCATGAGTTTTGAGAATAGTTAGGATTGCAGGAGATCAGCCCCCTTCAGCCCTTTCGTGCATTCTTGATTTTTAAAGGACGCCCGCAACTCATAATAATCAACGTGTCCGGGTCTCTGCGGTGCGGGAGAGAGAAAGGGATGTTCATATCAGCAGGGAGAATAAGCCACCGCCAAAAATGCATACAAAATTTTTGGGAAGGTTTGGTTCAGGATAGTTTAGAAACTTTCCATTTTGCACTGCACATAAGGCCGTTGACGTAATAGAGCGCGGTCTTAGATGTCATCCTTGCAAGGTTGAATCATCGTAGCCTTTATGGGGAGAAGTTCACGAGCCCCATTTTTGACCATTGGCTGAAGGTAATTTAGAGCTCTGCTATAATTATCTTTTAGTTTAGTTAGTACCTAGGTTGTCGGTTGTTGGAGATATGGAGATATATGAGTTTGGGTCGTTTCGAAGTGAGTCACGTTACCGTTACCAGAGAGTTGCTCCACATTAAGCTACTTAGCACCTTAAGCTGTGAGCGGGTCTAGTGGCGCGCTGAGGTTTGGCGTCTGCTTAGGGCAAAGGCTGTCGTTTAAACATTCATGAAACGGCATAAAACTATTCACATCAAAGCATTGCGAGGAGTTTGCCGATTCAATCGCTATTTTTTTTCCTCACCGGTCCTCTAGCGCTCTACAGATTCAAAGATGAGTTCTTCGTGGTTGTCTCTTGTTCTTATGAATGTGTTTCACGGCCTAGTTGTTGGAAGTGTTGGGAAGAACATTAGAACTTATCACTAATCTCGTACCGTATGAGCTTCCTCTGTTCTGGCACGCGAGTTGTTGTTACATCATTTTCGCAGGCGCGAAGCTAAAATAGAAACTTGGGTTCTGGAAAGCCAAAGGTTGTCATTTTTAGCTATTCGCGAACTCTGCGAAATGGTGGTAGATACAAGTAGCTACATCCCTAATATCTACCCCCCTCCAAAACCTTCTTCCCACTCACCCCCGGCAATTCCAGGGACCTTCTCCACATTTCCAATTTTCCTCACTTTCTTCTATCCAAGGGTCTTTGTTCTCCTTAAAAAACTCCTTTCTATGCTGATTCTACCAACACCCTTCTTCTTCTATCAACATCACATCTCTATATCTCCGTCTCTGTCTCCATTTGCTGCTGAGAATGGCGAACGGCGAGAAGGACTGCGTCACTGACGTAGTGGTCCCTGAACCTCAGGAAAGTGATGTCATGCACGAAAGGTGTGTGCAGTATTCAATTAGCCAGCCCCCCATATCCATGACTGGGATGCAAACGGAAAAGGGGAAGCAGGGAAAAAGGAATTGGTTATGCTGAATGTATAATCCGTATTTTGCAGTGGAAGTTCCGACCAGAGCTCCGACGATGCAGAACGTGGTGAACAAGAGAAGATTAATTTAAATTCCAACTTAACTGCAAGGTATACACAACGAGCTCGCCATTTCAGACTTGACATCTGTCAGATTTAACAGCAACTGATCGTGGGCCCATCCCATTGCTTATAGAATCAAAAACCCCCTCGCAGACATACCAAAGTCTACCCTTATGAGAGATGTTAAGGAATTCGCCCAAAGATTCGGTTTGGAAGATATCCTCCCTACCCTGCAGAGGGGTGCTCTAGTGGCCAAAGATCCGTCCAATTTCGAGAATGTCGATGGCATTACCGAAGACGAGGTCGAAGCTATCCGGAACGAGGTCCTTCACAAATGGCGTCAGCCTAAAGCCCTTCTTTTCACGATTATCATGTGTTCGATTGGTGCTGCTGTCCAGTAAGTTGACTTTTCGCAGATGCTCTTCTGTTTAATCATTTATTATGGGTATCAAAAATTCTAACTTACGTATCCAGGGGCTGGGATCAAACGGGATCAAACGGCGCCAATCTGTCATTCCCGCAGGAATTCAACCTGATCGAAGCAGACCACCCGGATGCTGAGAGGAATCAGTGGATTGTTGGTCTCGTTAATGCGTAGGTCTTCAACATCTATCCATGGAGTCTCCGGGCTTCGATTGAACTAACTCTGGTATAGTGGACCTTATATCGGATCGGCTTTCCTGTAAGTCCAGGTCGTCTTAGCATGATCCCCACCTATTGTATTCCCGCGTCTAATGTTATTCTCCGTTTTAGTGGTTGCTGGTGCTCCGATCCTCTCAACTTCTACTTTGGTCGTCGAGGGGCGATCTTCGTTTCTGCTGTCTTCTGCGTTCTCACTCCCATAGGTTCCGCTATGTCTCAAAGCTGGCCTCAGCTTCTGATCGCCCGTTTGCTCATGGGAATTGGAATGGGTGCCAAAGCATCCACGATACCCATCTTCTGTGCCGAAAACACTCCTGCGTCTATTCGCGGTGGCCTTGTGATGTGTTGGCAGCTGTAAGACACCTCTCCACAGGTCTTTAGCTTGAGATGCCTGAGCTGACATTTTATGTAGTTGGACCGCCTTCGGCATTTTGCTTGGCTTCAGTGCCAATCTTATTGTAAAAGATACCGGTAACATCTCCTGGAGACTGCAACTGGGATCAGCGTTCATCCCAGCTGTCCCTCTTGCCTTTGGAGTATATTTTTGCCCTGAGTCCCCGCGATGGTATATCAAGAAAGGGAGAATCAACAAGGCATACGAATCCCTGCTTTCCCTTCGAAACCACCCAATTCAGGCCGCGCGAGACTTGTATTACATGCACAGCCAGATCCAAATTGAAGAGGCAGTTGTTGGCAAGAGCAATTACGTCACTCGCTTTTTCCAATTGTTCACTGTTCCCCGCGTTCGTCGCGCAACCCTTGCATCGTTCGTGGTTATGATTTCGCAGCAGATGTGCGGTATCAACACAATGGCATTCTACTCATCGACCATTTTCAAACAGGCAAGCGCCTCTGTTACGGAGTCGTTGCTCGCGTCGTTTGGTTTCGGTTTGGTCAACTTCGTTTTCGCGTTCCCGGCGGTCTGGACCATTGACACATATGGACGACGTGCGCTCTTGCTCTTCACTTTCCCACAGATGGCGTGGACGATGCTTGCTGGTGGCCTTGCATTTTATATCCCAGAAAGCAGTCCAGCTCATCTTGGTGTCGTTGCTTTCTTCATATACTTGTTTGCTGCCTTCTACTCCCCCGGAGAAGGCCCCGTCCCCTTTACCTACTCTGCTGAGGTCTTTCCTTTATCCCATCGAGGTACGTTAAAATTTTTTCCATCTGACTAAGAAAGAAAATGTCGTTTTTTGGAAATACTGACAAATCTTTCAACAGAGGTCGGAATGGCGTGGGCAGTAGCAACATGCCTATTCTGGGCGGCTGTGCTCTCAATCACATTCCCCCGACAGTTCCGCGCCCTGACCCCCACAGGTGCCCTTGCGTTCTATGCGTAAGTAGATCCCCAACTCCCCTCACGGGTTTCTCCTTTTACCGTTACGAACCCTCTTCTAACAAACCATTTCAACAAAAACCAGCGCCATGAATGTCTGCGCCTTCTTCATGATCCTCCTCTGTGTCCCCGAAACCAAACAACGAACCCTGGAGGAATTAGATTATATTTTCGCCGTTCCCACGCGCAGGCATATGAGCTACCAGCTCTTCACTGCTGTTCCGTATTGGTTCAAGCGCTACATCTTCCGCATGAATGTTAAACTGGAGCCGCTGTACCATTTCGAGAAGCTTGGGCAGGACGAGAATTGTATCAATGAAATTCGCAGGCGGAGAGAGGAGATTGCGCAGTCGCGGAATGCGAACGTTTTGAAGGAAAAGGGAAAAGAGAAGGATGATTTAAATCGAGTTTGAACAAAATAATTTTTTTTTAAAGGGTTGTAGCGGGGGGAGATAAACGCGCGTCGACGGAACGATGGGTCTCTTTCCATTCGAACGGCTTGGGGGCCGGCGGACTTTAATAGCTGTGCAAGCTATAGATGAGTCTTCCATCACCAGCCTTCTTGTTACTCTTCTATTATTTTTTCTGGCCTTCTTCTTTTATATTTCCCACGTATCTGATATACTTATGCCAGCCGGTCAAATGGCTTTCTTCTTGATTTTTGCTGTTTCCCTTTCATTCCTATTTCCCACCTAATTCACCCCCATCTGTTTTTATATTGCTTGGACAGGAGTTCGTTCTTATTTTCAAGTCATACCCCCGCAAGTCAAGCCTCTTGCCTTTTTGATTTGTGGGCTTTCATGATCTCTGTGAATATCTTTCAATTCTTCGATTAGTTTGTTGATCAACATACGGCTTTGCTTCACCTGTTTTTATAACTTCTTTTGAGTTGGTTGTAGGGAAAATTCATTTCCTCCCCTTGCCTCTTTGAGGGCTGTATAGATAATGAACATGCTTGCGTCCATGTGTGAGTTGTTATTGCTGCTGCGTCTGTGTGTGAGTGATCTCTCTCCGGGCTTTAACTTCGCTTCTAAGAAGAGAATAGATACAGTAGACGGTGAGAATCGAACAAACGAACGATGGCGATGGCTGTGGTCTAGTTTAAGCATGCAGAGTAAACCTAATGGATAAATTTGCCCAGAGAGTTGTTAAGTTTCAAGTCCTTTCTGCCCGTTCTTTCAGTTGTTGGTCGTGAGTAGGGTCTGAAGACTCAAAACAGAGGCACAGTCGGGTAAGATGTAACCAGTCAGTCATTGGGACGAATAGAAAACAAGGTAGTTGAGATTTCATCACAGTGATCCCCTCCTTAACGAGATCACATGTAGTAGCAGCTGTATACGGAGCATTGAAACCCAAAATAATATATCGTCCATTGCATTCCACGACTCTATCAGCGCCTGTTTCCCCTCCAGCCCAATATATGAAGACAGATTGTTGATGACGTCGAGTTCTCGAAATGTAGCCCTCCGAAGTTTGAGGGGGGGGAAGGCAGTGTCACGTGTCCGTCCATGCACGCGTGCCCTTTGGAAGGCAGCTGGGCGGCCTAACCAAACTTCAGCTCCACTTCTCGACTTTTGTTGCCGGTTGTTTGACCGTCGTCTCCCTTCCCCGGGTCGCCATCCGAACAGCGCCCTCTTCCTCTGCTCTCTGCACTGCATTGGCTTCTGCCAGTCCCCAGAAGTCCTGCAAATCTATCAAAGCCATTCATCCTTGATCAGTGGAAATTGGCAGTGGTGCGAGGGAGAATAACCTCTCTCTCTCTCTCTTCTCCCCTCCCTCTCTTCTCCCCTCCGCCTCCTCCCCCCATATCTATCAAGCTGTGAGTTGTCGGTTGGGTGTTGTGTTGTTTATTGTGTGGGTGTTCAAACTTCCTTTTCCAACAAACATTGTTGATGAAGAATACAAAAGGCAAAAACAAAACAACAATAATCCCCTCTCTTCACTACTCTCTTCACCTGGTTTCTAGGTCTCTCCAATACCGCTGAAGCTGATTCGAGAGAGCTGCAACACCCACCCTGCTCATTTAGCTTCCCTGTCACTTCCCCACACTCAAATTACATATAAATGGCTTCCAAACCAAGCTGCTAGCATATCAACATGATCCTTTAGCTACTTTCAGCAAGGAATATAGATATATTTACCTACTACTTAGGTATATACCATCTATTGGAACCGTGACGGATTGCGCAGGTCGCCATTCCCACCCAAAAAATCCAACACCCAGGGCTCTGAATTTCTAGCATCGTATTCTTCCCAAACCTCAAAAAAACGAATATACATATAAACTGGACCAAAGTTTTACTACCCAACCATGCCGTGTTTCAAAGGCCTTGCAGTCAGCATCCACACCCCCAACGGGCCGTTGCCAGAGTACTCAGTCCAAAGGCAATCTCGCGCCTCCCGGATTGCCTGCTACATCCCCGTCCCGCCTCCCAAACTTCCAGATTGCTCAGCAAGCAAACCTGAACAATCCACCTTCGCAATCTCCATTACCCTCCTCACCCCGGGCCAAAATGTGCCTTACTCAACCCCAAAACCCACGCCAGAAAACCCGCACCCAAAGGCAAAAGTTGTTGGTCCTTTTCCTAAGAGCACAAACACTGTTGCAAACTCTGTCGGACCCTATCAGGCCCTGACGACTTCGCCCAACGAGACTGTTGCTGCCTATATATATTTCGACGGCCGGCAGAAGGAAGAGGTGGCGACGTTGTTGCGGCGTGGGGAAGAGACATGGGTTAATTCCAGATGGGTTGGGATACCGCAGTCCGAGGGTGGAGGGCTTGCGGAGCGGGAGTTTTTGTTTCGAGAGGTCGGGTTGGAGAGGTGGCTGAATGGGCTGGATTTGGAAGGGAAGGATTCCGCAGCGAAGATTGAAAGGAGGTGGCAGAAGATGGAGCGGAGGCGGAGGAGAAAGGGTTCAAACAGCACCCGGCGACAAGGGCAGGAGGAACTAAGGCTGGGGAACGATGAGAATGATGAGATGATGGAAATGGATGAGAAGAAAACTAGGTTCCCTGGACAGCAGCGGCAGAGTGTATTGCGCTATGGAGATGATGCAGAAGCGCCTGTTGAGAATTTGTCAGATGTCGACTACACGTCTGACACTGAGGATGATGATGATGATGATCCGATCCCTGAGACGGCGGGTCAGATTAAAGTAACCCTATTTAGGGTTTTGGCATCGGGAGAAATCAAGCGGGGGGAATATTCGCCTCAGTTCGATGCGCATGATGACGATGAAGACAAGCAGGAGTCGAATGGCCAAGGGGCTAATGATGCGGATGTTGATCATACTACCAGCTTTGCAAAGCCGAAATCCCTAGATCCCAGGTCGATCAGTACACAGACCGTTACAGGAATTGATCCACCCGACAGGCCGTACGCGGTATTTACCTTTATGTATCGAGGAGAGCGTAAGTTGGATGTCTTAGTTTCAATCATTTAGAGGTATTGATTACATTAACATAATTTTCACAGGGCAATTGCAAAAGATGGGCATTCTGGAAACGAAGTCCAAGGCTAAAGATAACACCGGCTCGACTGCAAAACGTGTATCCGTACAGCCAGACTTTGCGAACCTTGCGCCCCTGAAGCCTGGTGGTGCTGTTGGCTTTATTAACTTTAGAGACAGCAATAGCAAAGAGGGGCTGGGCAAGTCAAGAAAGAAGCCTAAGCGGAGTAGTGGAAGTGACATGGATGACAGCGATGACGACGATGAAAATGGCACATCGTCTATACTTCACAGAGCGGAGTATGAGGAGGATAAGGAAGTTGGTTCTTCGCTGCTTTCACCTGATGATGTTAAAAGACAGGGAGAGCTTGCGGAGGGCGTGAGGCAGATAAAGGTATGTTTCCATTTTCCTTTCCGATTTTTCTTTTGAAAAGCAGTCCAGTCAATGTGACTATGACTTCCATGTCATATGCCTCACGGAAATTTGTATAGTTTTTAGGTCGTATTGCTTACAACCTCCATCACAGCTGAAACGACAACACTCCGCCGATCCCCTCACAAACAGCGGCAACACAACTTCGCTAACCTCAAAATCAAACACACCCGCATCAATATCGACCCCTCCTGCAAACAGCATAACCAGCACAACCACTGCAGCAGTTCCCGACGCCACCACCCCTCCGCACGGCGCCTCTTCCCTCCCAGGCTCACATGAACCGCATATTAACAACCACAGCAGCAGTGTGCTTGACAGGGACCCGGCGTTCATCGGAAGCCCCTTGAAGAAGCAGCGGGCTAGTGTGTTGGGCACAGACAATGGTGTCTTTAATAACAAGAGATTGGGCGGGTCGTGTCTGGCTACTAACATTCAGGAGATTACGGGGTCAAGTCCTAGCTCTGGTCTTAATGTGAGTGAAAACGGTAATATAGCTACGACTGTCCTTCCCGGAAGCAATTTGAGTATTAAGCAGAAACCGCTACAGGAGCCTGAGGAGGATCTTTAAGAGTTGGATGCAATAGCAACAGCAGCAACTGCACTTGAGAAACTGGAATTTTTGGTGTTAATTTATTGACTTCGAGTGGAGTCGTTGGGTTGAACTTTTTGTTTTATCATTGCTTGTCTTTTGTTCTTTCCAATTTCATTTTTTTTTTGTCTGATTCTTTTATATCTTTCTCAAGGATTCATTAGCTAAATATTCCTTGCCTTGACCGAAGTGAACGAAATTACTCCAATCTTTGGTTGCTTTCTTCGTTTCACCTTAGGATTTTCATATGTAACAGCTGACAGGCAAAGTCACTAAACCACCTATCTCACCTCCCTTTTCAAAAACATTCTTGGTTCTGAATCTTACCATCGTTTTGACTGCTGCCATTTCCTGGTTAGCTTTTCTTCCTCTTACACTTCTTGCCTTCCCGAATTCCGAAAAACATCCGTCCACTATCTCTGCTCCTTCAAATGCTGCTGTTGTTCTCAGGCCCTGTATGTCACAGCATACAGCATACAGAGCTCCGAGTTGATACGTTTCTGTTAGTTTGCTTTCTCTTCTCTTTGCAGCAGCGATTTGACGCGATACAGAGTGATTAACATTTGAGCCGACGAGCTCTAGACAAACAGTTTGTTCATGTACTAGCATACTGACTATTCTGGCGTATTTGGCATCACCATCGTTCAAGGATGTGATATGGCTTCCTTCAGTTCTATGCAGTTACCTGAAAATTAGAAGAATGTTTTGGAAATATTGACTTTCTGTGTGCCCTCCTTCCACCACATTTGCTGGTGGGTTTCACCCTTGATTATTGATGACAACGAAGGAGATGGGATTGTAGGGGAGTCTTCTGAATTTGAAGTGCGCGCCGGGTGGGGCCCGCTGCCGCTGAAGCAGTTTTCCCTCTGGGATTGTCCAACAGCCCGCGTCTCCATTGTCCAGTGTTACTATAATTACGTATGTGACGACCAACCTCACATATGATGTCACTCGTGAGAATCCCTCGACTTTCATTCTTGTAGTTAATCCGCAATATTAGATTGTGCTTGCGGTATTTGCTAATCCGGTCTCTCAAATTCTCTGCATAGGGTACGGGTATATGATATGGGTGTGGAATACGCTAGAAGTCAACCTGGCTTGTTATATACGCGTCCATGCCAACTCTCAGACCCTCTGCGAAGAGAGATATTTCCCGAAACTAGGATTCAAACCCACAACTGCTTCCTCAGCATTTGAGATACAAACGGGAGCACAGCAACAAACTGGAATCCTCAAAGAACACACGATCAATCAGGAGGTGTAGTAAAACGGCTCGACTGGGGAACTGACTGGCACTGGTGAAGTGTATCCAGTGTCACCGGTGAGGTCAACGCCGTGATGCCAGTTCCCTGATGGATGGTGTGGACAAGAAGGCCATGTAGATATGGGTATTTCAGTATTGGGGAACTATGTGGCCTATGTGATGCTTAGATATTTGTCTCATACTATCTAACTACAGGAGGAAAATTCATTCTTGTGAGAAAATCTTCAATAAAACCAGCCTATTAGTTTAATGTACTCTGTAGTGTGGATATAAAAAAAACTTCCTTTTCGTCCTGCTGCCGATAACTATTTTCTTAGCTTCCGAGCGAACAAGATGATAAATAGAGTAAATAACTAAAGGATGGCCTCCAACTCTCTTCACTCAACCAAACCAAACCCAACCAATTTCACATCTCAGAGAGATTAGTGGAAGTTTTTTTCCCCCCCCCATTCCGCCCCTGTAATCACGTTCAGCTTTTGGCTGAAGATGTCGCCAATTCGCAGCCATGCCTCTCTCCCGGTCAACTGATCCTCTTGTCTGGATTGATTGCGAGGTTCGATATCCCCGGTTGCCCTTCCAGGTTATTTCCTAGAGCCATCCGACATGGCAAATCTCCGCCAGTTCACAATAAGAATAACAAACAACATGACCATGACCATCGAAACTAAACTAACCACTTTCTCCACCGGGGTGTAAAGATGACAGGTCTCGATCCGCGTACGGATAAAATAATACAAATATGCTGCTTCATCACCGACGCAAATCTCGACTTAGTTGAACCCAACGGCTTCGAAGCTGTAATCCACTACCCCAAATCTGTCCTTGACAACATGAATGACTGGTGTATCGAGACTCATGGCCGGACAGGCTTGACAGCTGCAGTGCTCTCATCGACTACAACCCCGACTGCCGCCGCGGAGGGTCTGCTTGCCTATATCAAGAAGCATGTTCCCCAGAAGCACATGGGATTGCTGGCAGGTAATAGTGTGCAAGCTGACAAGGCATTTTTGGCCTGTGAGCCGTATGCGGATGTTCTCGAGTGGCTACATTATCGATTGCTGGATGTGAGCAGTATTAAAGAGGCAGTCAGGAGGTGGGGGAATGAGGAGTTGTTGAGGGATGCGCCGAAAAAAGGGTTTGTGCACCTGGCAAAGGAGGATATTCTAGAGAGCATTGAGGAGATGAGGTATTATCGACGTGTGTTGTTTGAGAAGAAGGATTGAATGAGATATATAACTACCCATGCCTGTGGTCAACGATTGGATGGGAAGGATCTGATTCTCTATAGAGATACTGGGGGCGCTGCTGGACGCATATTCACCAACCAAGGCCTACAATAGAAGGTATGCAATTTCAGTTGCTGTTTCAGTGATAGTGACAGTTTTTCCCTCTCGTTTCTTTTTTACAAATGAACGGGAGGTGGAGGAGAATTGGCTGTTCCGTCACAGCCAATAGGCAATACTGCTTGAATGACCCATGTAGATGCTCTACCATGTTACCTTACATACACTTAATAGATACAGCCAGCGTACCTAGTTCATAGCAGCTACTAGCTAAGCTTATGAAATGATGTAAAGAATCCGCCCCTATTCCCGCATCTCATAGTAGATCTCCTGGCTTTTATGGTGTTGCAATGACGCAGTTGCCCCGCCAAAAACTGGATTTCAACATATCTCAACAATCTTCTAACAATTCTCTCAACACCCTTAATAGACCCAGAATCCAAATGTCACAATCCTCTCTAAAGAGGTGATAAGCCCCAGTGTGTACTATTGTTAGCTGTAGCGAACGGGTGAAAGGATATAAATTGGCTCTTAAAGTTTATTTTTTTTCTTCATTCTACCAATTTAAATAAACACCATCGCGTCTTCGGTTGCATACTTCCTAGTCCCATCCCAACCAAGCGCAAGAGGACATTGCACGGCGAAAATATTCAATATGGGCGCCAAAACTGTGTCAATTACTCCGTTTACAGACCAGAAGGCCGGAACGTAGGTATTTTTCCTATTCCAAAACCAAGTCATCAGCATCCACCTGCTAATTCACTTGCAGATCTGGTCTTCGCAAAAAGGTCACTGTCTTCCAGCAGCCCAATTACTCTGAATCCTTCATCACAAGCATTCTCCTATCTATTCCAGAGGGTGTTGAGGGCTCCTTCTTGGTCATTGGGGGTGATGGGCGATTCTACAATCCAGAAGTCGTGCAATTGATCGCCAAAATCGGAGCAGCATACGGTGTCAAAAAGTTGCTGGTGGGCCACAATGGTATCCTGAGCACACCCGCTGCGAGCCATGTTATCAGAAAGAGGAAGGCTACTGGTGGAATTTTGCTTACTGCAAGTCATAACCCAGGTGGTACGTGTGCTTTAAAACGTCTTGTTTCTGGTGATGGGTCTCAAATCCTGGGAGTTCACCGCTGCATGGATTGCAATACATATCTTAACTCGTTGTATCAATAGGACCAAAGGCGGACTTCGGTATTAAATACAACCTTTCCAACGGTGCTCCAGCTCCCGAGTCTGTGACGAATAAGATCTACGAAACCTCCAAGAATCTGACATCATACAAAATCGCTGAAATACCGGACATCGATCTTTCACAAATTGGCATCAAGAAATATGGATCCTTGGAGGTGGAAATTATCCATTCCACGACCGATTACGTCGAGATGTTGAAGGAAATATTCGACTTCGATCTCATCAAGTCCCTTTTTAAGACGCACCCCGATTTCAAGGTCCTCTTCGACGCACTGCATGGAGTTACCGGCCCCTATGGAAAGGCAATTTTTGTGGATGAACTTGGCCTTCCTCCCTCCAGCATTCAAAACTGCGTTCCCTCTCCTGACTTTGGTGGTGGGCACCCGGATCCCAACCTGACATACGCCCATTCCCTTGTCGAGGCTGTTGACAAGAACGGCATTCAATTCGGTGCAGCAAGTGATGGAGATGGAGACCGCAACATGATCTACGGAGCCAACACTTTCGTCTCACCAGGAGACAGTTTGGCCATCATTGCCCATCACGCGAAGCTGATTCCCTATTTTAGGATGCAGGGTGTATATGGCCTGGCCCGTTCAATGCCAACTTCAGGCGCAGTGGATCTGGTCGCCAAAGCGCAAAACCTGAAATGTTACGAAGTACCCACGGGCTGGAAGTTCTTCTGCGCTCTCTTCGACAACAAGAAAATGTCAATATGTGGTGAAGAGAGCTTTGGCACAGGTAGCAACCACATCCGCGAAAAGGACGGGCTCTGGGCCATCGTCGCCTGGCTCAACATTATCGCTGGCATCGCTAAAGCCAATCCCGAAAAGCCCCTGAGCATTGCCGCAATCCAACATGACTTCTGGAAGGTATACGGTCGCACCTTTTTCACTCGCTACGACTACGAAAATGTCGATTCCGCAGGCGCGAGTAAGGTAATTGACAATCTCAAAGAGCTTATTACCACCAAGAAAGATACCTTCGTTGGCTCGAGCGTTTCGGGACGCAAGGTCCTCGAGGCTGGTGACTTCTCCTACACCGATCTGGATGGCAGCGTGAGTAAGAACCAGGGCATTTACGTCAAGTTCGATGATGGGAGTCGTATCGTAGTCCGCCTGTCAGGAACGGGCAGCAGTGGGGCTACGATTAGGTTGTATGTTGAGCGCCATGAGCCAGATCAGAATGAGTTTGGGAAAGATGCGCAGGAGTATTTGAAGGAGAATATTGCGTTGGCGGTGCAGTTGTTGAGGCTGAAAGAGTTTATTGGAAGGGAGGAGCCGGATGTCAAGACATAGACGGGACAACTAGATCTAGGACGTTCAAAGTGGCCATTGAGGATGTGGACTTATGCTAAGAGTAAATTGTGATGAGTGGATACTAATGAAAAGATGTGATAGTTGATGAGAGTGGAGAGTTAGGTCGAGCAGTGAGCTTTCTCTATAGCTATGTCAAGATATAGTATAGTTACATGAATTAAATGAATTAAGCAAACTGTTTTTTTATATTAAATATACTCTGATTCATAGTTGAATGTTATCTTAGGAGTCTTTTCTTTTCTTTTCTAATCACAGCAATAATAACGAAGTGAAGTGTTTTCTCTTTTCTTTCTCATCGATTACTGGAGCCCCTAGTCTCTTTTTCTCTAATTTCACCCCCGAGTGTTCCGTTGTGGATATCAACTGATAACAAGCTTCAACCATTATAAAATACCAGATGATATGAGTAGCACAGAAAAGTATATACCACCATTGCTAAATGAATCAACATAAAAAGAAGTAACTCTGAAGCAAGCATCCCTCAGTTGATGAAAAAGAATTCATGGCTGTCATCAATAAAATAGTACACCCCAATAAGCATAATGAGAAAAGGGTGAACGGACAACAAAACCACCGCATAAAAACAGACCTCAATTCATCACCGTCGCTTCCCCGCCCACCACTCCTGCCACCTAACAACCTTCCCCTCCCTCCTCGCTTCCTCCGCCGCAAACACAGTCGCATGGCTAATCACTGCCTCCTCAAATGAACAGCCAACAAACGCCCTCTGTGCCCTCTCAGCCTCCCATCCCAAATTCTCCACGGAATCTACCGCCCTCACAAACGCCCTCGTCAGCCCATAATCCCCTCCACCGTGCGATTCCGTCTCTTCTGGCGGAGGCTCCGGCACGTTCGTAATGGCCCTCTCCCCACTGCCAAAATCATACACAGATATTGCTTTGCTGTCATAGGTTAATTCACCCTTCGTACCAGAAACGCGCCCCCGACGCTCGCACTGTGCCTCCGTCGATGCGACCATATGGAGGACAGCAGTTTTAGCGCCTCGTCCGCGCAGGCGGGTGTGCAAGTCTTGTTGCCCTGCTGTTGCTGCGGAAGGTAGCGGGAGTGGGTCATCCGCCCAGGAGATGGAGACGACCTGGTTCTCAATGACGCTGTTGTCAGATTCATAGACGCAGCGGCCAAACCAGGGGCGTGCGGCAACTACAGCATCCGGAGTTGTGGATTTGTCGTAGTCCTCTGCCAAGGTTTTCATGAGTAGCGATTCTGCTGCGGCCATCCCGGATGTCTCGAAGGTGTCTTCAATATCTGGGCAGACGATATGAACGGGCCACTTCGTTAACCCCTTGGAGAGGAAGCGGTCTTTATAGATTTTAATGGCGCTATAGATACAGTCTTTTTCAGCGGGGCAGGAGAGACAGTTTGTTGCATCTCCAGCCGCCGTTGGTTTACCCGCTTGGCGGAATTGGGTCAATGAGCCTGTCGAGGAGATGGATTGGGGTGTATGACGTGGGTAGTCATCTGGGGCTCCTGGCGGTGGGAAGGAGAGAAGCCAGAGGATAAAATCGATGTCGTGGGAGCATTTTGTCAGGAGACTGCCGTCTCCGCCTTGAGTTTCGCGGCGCCAGTTGCCGCGCACAAAGCTATGTGCGAAGTGGTACCAGCCCACGGGCTCTGTATGTTCGAGGAACGTAATCTCGCCAATAACTCTATCCTCGAGCAGCAGCCGGCGAAGAATCTGGTTGTGTGGACTATAGCGCAGGACGTGGCCTATGGAAAATATTTTTGACTTGGAGAGGTTATTCTCATTGAAAGCATGGGAGATAGCAAGACAATCTTGGAGCGATGTCGCCAAGGGCTTTTCACAGAGGATGTGAAGATTGAGGGGGGCTATGGCGAGCAGGATCTCCACATGCATCTCGTCTAGGGTGCAGATAAACACCCCGTCGACACCCTTTGGCTGCTCCCCACCCCCTTCCTTCTCCTTTTCCCTACGCAATTTTTCCCACTGCAACCATTCTTTCCAGTCAGCAAACTCCTGTCCCTCCCCTGGAGGTTCGCTGCCCCAGATATAGCTCCGCCCAAACCCCTGGCGCTTGAAAGCATCCACCTCTGCAACAGCATGAATGACGCCGGGTGTTGCATTAGTGACAGCGCGAGCATAAGCGTTGCCACGAGACCCGGCGCCAATAACGAGGAACCTAGGCGCTGCTGTGGCAATGTGCTTCGTGGGCTCGGTGGAGGCCATGGAGGGTAATTCCGAATAAGATTCTCTAGTTCATAAAGTATACCCTAAGTTTTTGATTTGATTCGAGGGAGTTTCAGGAAAATAATAATGAATTTATGGCAGTGGGCGGGTAGCAGTATTGGTCATTGAAGAAATGGCAAGCCCATCCCTAAATAACTGGCAGTCAACGAATGTTTCTTATACAGCTAGTGACAGTCCTGGAGTGACAGCTATCACGCTGCAGCGAGCAGTGAGTGGTTCCAGACGCAGAGCCTCCACATTCCTTGCGGGGCAAAGAGTGCATGTTTTCACACTGGTGAACTAATATTAAATAGCACTAAGAAATGAGGGGCTCCATTAAAACAATGCTTGACGTGGTCACCACAGCAAAGTCGCAGCAGACCAAACACGGATGGAGGTGACGCTGTTGCGCAAGTCGGTTGTTCAGTGTTGCAATCGCTCTGAAAGTCGGCTGGTTGTCAGATAATGGATGAGATAAGCATGAGATAAGCATGAGATAAGCAGTGCTGGCTGAAATTCAACGGGCTGTGATTGGCTGTCATATTCAGCCAATGACCTTTAGTTTAACAAGTTGATCCAACCACCAACTTTTGATCATATCATCAGAAGAGAATAAAAAGATGAGAGAAAAAGAGAGGTTGTAATCAAGACTGTAGAATGCTCATTCAGCTGTTGAAAGTTACGCTCATTATCTGAACAACTTCAATCACCTTCGCTCCGTCTTCATCAACTTTTTTGTTCGTATAGTTAATCAATGATATAGTTAGTTATGTGAGCTTGTAAGAGGAACATCATGTAGCTTGACAGCTTGTCACTTACTTATCCCTTATTTTCAATGGATTAAAGGCGGCCAAAATAAGCCGATCTGTACTCATAATTGCTGAATACATGCTGAATGAATGAATGGACGAGGGTTGACGCTGCATTAACGTGATGGATCACCTTCCCGTAACAACCCCCCCCCCCCCAATCCAAATCCAAATCCATTCATATTCACCAAATCATCAAATATGCCCACAAAATCAAACGGTCAAGCTTCTAATCTAGAAGGAAGGCTTCTCTTAGCCATTGAGGCCTATAAAACAGGTCAAATTTCATATATTACGACTGCTGCCAAAACGTACTATGTTCTACCCTCGACCTTACGCGGTCAAATCAAGGAAGTCAAAACATGTTCAAATGCTCAAATTTCTAATAGAAAGCTGACCTCCATAGAGGAAGAATCTCTAGTCCAATGGATAATATCCGTGGATGAGAGAAGTCAGCCTCCTCGAATTGAAAACGCATGAAATATGGTGGATTTCCTACTTTCTACCCGAGCTGAATCTACTGTGGGAGAAAAATGGGTTCAAAGACTAATTCCACGTCATAAGGAACTAAAGACTAGATTCTCACGCAAATACAACTACGAGTGAGCCTTATGTGAAGATCCTAAGATCGTTCGAGAATGAACATGGCTGGACCACGGATAAGCTGGGTATAATCTGGCTCAAGGAGATCTTTGAGAAGCACACCAGGGCTCGTACGATTGGCAGATATAGGCTATTGATGATGGATGGACATGGCAGTCACAGCACATCTGAATTTGATCAGTACTGCATGGAGAAGTCTATTATACCTCTTCACATGCCAGTTCATTCATCTCATCTGCTGCAGCCACTAGATATGAGCTGCTTTGGACCCTTAAAACGAGCATACAGACGAAAGGGTTGAGGATAGCATGAGATTAGGGATCAATCATATTGATAAGAAGGATTTTTTCTAGGGCTCTATCCCTTAGCAAGAGAAATTAAGGAGCTGAGAGCTGCAGTTGAGAAAAAGCGCAAGAAAGGGGTAGAAGATTTGAACCAGCTGCCTAGAAAGCGAGCTCCACCACACTGCAGCAAGTGTGATATAGTCGGTCATTCTCCTAGAACCTGCCAACAGACCTAAGGAATAGATCTATATATTTAATCTGAGAAATTCTAGTTGATGATTGCTTAATTCCTCAATTTGTTAGATTTGGGTGCGGGTGATTAGGCAGGTAATTGTGAAGGTGACAGACTATATTAACTAGCTAGTTAGAGATAGTTAAAGAACTTAAGCGCCCAGTGCATGAACAGCGCAATGTTCACAACCAACAGGCGCGTATAGGAGGCAAAGGAGTTAAAGAAGTTCGATCCCCTGGAGCTTAGGGACAGCTGCAGACGTTAATCTTGCCTGATCTAACTAACTAGTTACCTCAAAATTGCATGACACACCTATGCTGATTTCCGATAACAACGAAGCGAGCGCCTGGGCCCACCCGGGGAATCATCAGCCAATGCATATGCAAAACAGCTATGAATGTTTCTTAAAATAAATGGAACTCGAATTTCGCAATGAAAGGATTTTTTTGTGAAAGATTTTATGAAGAATGGATCCTTGTTTGAGAAATTTTTGATATGCATCAAGTTGTGATTAATCCAAAGCACATCTGAAACTTTCCCCCTTCCAGCGTTGATATTCCTCATGAATGGCGAAGTTAAAAGGTCAGCAGCTGAGCTAATCCATATGCAACTAACTAGTTATTTGCAGGTATGAACCTAGCATGTAACACTCATTAATAAAGTCTATAGAGAAGAATCCATGGATCTATGTAGTCTAACAAATTCCAACGCCAGTAGAATATGCAGAATTCTCTATTAAGAAATGAATGTGTGAGGAACACAGTCAAGAAAGGAAAGCTTTTTAGCTCCTCACCACAATCGCGCAAAGTTGAGGATAGTCGAGTAAAAAAATATATATAGGTTACTTCGGAGAAAATCGCACAAGGGAATAACTAAAAAAATATAGAAATGGAATAGAAGGAGAAGGAGGAACGGAAATAGGATAAATAGGTGAATAAGAATTAAAATTTAGGATCAAAAAGTTTCCACGCATAGCCATGCATACCGTCAAAATATAGCTTTTTACAGAAGTGAAACCCCGCATCATCGCATTGTAAGAGCTGGTCATCAAGGGAATAAGAAATAAAACAACACGATTAGAAAGAAAGAAACAAACGCAAAGAAAAGACCTACAAAAACAGCAGGAGCCCATGCCCTACCTCGCACCCCCTTTCACTCCATTAGCATTAACATTAGCATTATCGTTATCGTCATAGACTTCATCACCATCCACACCACCCGGTCCACTCCCAAATACCTACTTATGCCACTTCTTCCTCCCTCCCGCCCCCGCCCCCGCCCCCGCCCAAGCGACCTGATCCTGCCGGCTCTGCTGCTGAATCCGCAACTGCAACTGAGCTTGTGCGTGCGCCTGCGCCTTCGCACGGCTCGCCCCGCCCCCTTCTCTCCGATGCCACGGATCCTGCGGCCACACCCACCCACGCACCCTTTTCGCATCTCTTTTCTCGCCCGTCTGGGGGTCGGGGATCCATTTATCCTTTCCCTCGGGAAGGACACGTTGGCGTGGCAGAACGCCGGATCCACCAACATTTAGGTACCAGGAGGGTTGTGTGGGGAGGGGTTCGGATTTGGACAGGAAAAGGAGGAAGTAGAGGGCTAGGGTTGCAGTGAGGGGGGTTTTGTGGGACGGCGATGGAGGTGAGGTTGAGCGGGAGTGAGAGGAATAAGGGAGGGGAGGGGAGGGGGAGGGAGAGAAGCTGGATGATTGACTTGAAGTTGCGGAGTGGGAACGGTCCATGTTTGTATTAAGATTGTGTGGTGAGGGTGGAGAGTAAGTTTCCGATGAGAGATTCGTCGGGATCGGTGCGGCTACTTCCAGGTAGCCGAAATAGGGTACATTATCGCCTTCGTCGCATCCAGCGCGGACGCAGACGAGTTCGATCTCGGTCATGATGAAGCCGTAGCGGCAGGAGTGATCGCGCATGCAACGTTGGAGATGCGCGAGGCCGTTCAGGTACTCGACGCGCTTGTGCGGTTGTTGGTTGCGCATGCCGCTGTTCCAGCAGTCGAAGCTTTTGACGAGGCCTACGAGGCGCCCGCGTTTGGCGCCCGAGGACGTCTGCGCCGTATCCGTGTTGTAGTTGGCAATGAAGTGGGGGCCACTTTTGCTGCGGTTACCTGTTAGAAAGGCCTCGGGGGTTGGTTTGAGGTGAAGGCAAAAATCTTTTCCAAGGGAGGTTTGGAGGGCGGCGTTGACGCGTGGTGCGTAGATGTCGCGGATTAGTTCAGAGAGCGAACCTTCGGAACTTGGGAAGAGGCGAGAAGCAGAAACGGCGGAGAGGGGGTGAGTGTCTTGGGAGACTTGGGTGGTGAGGAGTTCCGTTAGATTTGGGATGGAATGGATGGTGTAGAGGGAGAAACTGGTCCAGTTTCTGAGGTTTCGGATGTCCCACCAGAAATGCTGTTGTTGGCCACGACCTAGAGGGACACGGACTTTGCTCACTAAGTTGATGGCTTGGGTGGGCTCTGTTAAATATTTGAGGAGAGTGGTGGAAAGTTCCAGGTCGCCTGAGTCCGAGTAAGGGGGAGTACTAATGAGAGCCGGGGCAGGGAGAAGTGAAGACACAGATGTCACAGGATTTTCGAGATAGGGATAAGAAGGCAGTGGGAGCAGGGAAGGCTCCAGTTGAGGTGCAGCCTGTTCATTAAAGGGTGGATAAGACATGGAGAGATGAGATGTTGCTGAAACAGGGGCCGTAGGGCTATACTGAGACACATATCTCGGAACATTTCTGTAGGTTGGATATGCGTAGCGGCCCCAAATTGACTCGTCGATGCTGCTGGTGGAAGTCGAACGAGAATGGCCACGGCCTGAAAGCCTCCTCGAATGAGACGGGGTTAGGGTAACTGGTGATGAAAGGGTCGAGGGGCCCCCATTGCCAACCACGGAAGAAGCGGAGATTGGTGAAACCGTGGAACAGTCAATTAGCGAGGCAAGAGATAATCGCGCTTGGGATCGATTGGCGGGGTAGGGAACGAATCCAGGGGGTTTGCGGACATTGAGCGAGGCCTTGCGGGCTCGGATAGGTCCACTGCAGGACACAGGCTCAACCGTTAGATCCTGTGATCTGATTCTAGGAAGTAGAGCAGGCCCATGCTGGCGGATGACAGGGGACCGGTTTGGGGTGATGAGGTTGGTGATGCCAGACTCCGGAGTCGAGTTGTTAGAGGAACTCGAGACCGCGCGGGCATGAATATAATTATGGTTATTACGGCTGACAGTAAGATACCCAGAAGTTGGCATGGAAGGGGGTGTTGAAGGCCTGTAGTGATATAATTCCGATGACATTGTTGCTGCGTCATTGTGTCAGGGACAGCGTACCAAACGAAGAGGTGGAGGTCACGAGACCGGGAGGATATCCTCAGAACATACCAAATGATGACAAAATATTAAAAAAAGAGTCCTGGACTCCCACACGAAGGAAAGAAAGTGTAAGATGTGGTGTATGCCAGCAAAGACGAAACAACGACGAAGATTCGTTGTAAGCAGCTTAAATTATGAAGTGGGGATATAATTATTTTGAGGATTAGATGAGGTAAGGTGTAAAATGGGAGGAGGAAAGCCAGTAAAAAAAGGAAGAGAGTAGAACTAGATAATCGAGACCAAGTGGAAGACTTGCTTCACTGCTTGACTAATTGTTGATTGAATGTCTGAATGAATGTTTGAATATTTCTGGAAGAAAACAAGTGGATTGGGCTGGGTATTAAATCTTCTCCGACAGACGTGCCGCGACGAAGAAGTATGGCCCTCCATCGTATCGCGCAGAGGCACTGATAGATAGATGAACATGAAACATGATCTAAATAAAACAGTTAAAAATAAGCAGGTAGCGCGCCTAAGCTAAGGAGCATGTGTTTGAGGATTGACAATTTTTCTTTTTCTTTTTCTTAGCCTCCGATCATCGTCAAAGCTCACGCGGGTATGATCCTGACGCGAAAATGGAATGGTTAGGGGTTAACGTGGTTTGGATACGCGCATAGTTATTATGAGCTGCATAACGGTGAATTATTATTGAGGACCGTGTAATATATGGCAGCTTCAGTGTTTATTGATGATGCTATTTTCAGGTACAGCGTCTGATGAGACTGTGCCAGAGATATGTGTGCAGTTAACTGCAAATCTCCAGGCGCCGGAGAGTCGGCTGGCGGCAAACTGGAACATAGAGTAATCAGACGTAGAAAATGAGCGCAGAAAGTGAGAAACACTCTGCAACTCTGACATTTATCTGGCAATGTCTGGCACGGTGTTCTAATTTCTCTTTCTATCCAGAGGGCAAAAGTGATGGGGGGCCACGTCTCCTATTGGTGGTAATTCTGGTTAGAAGTGCACCTGTTGCAGTTGGCGCCTTGGTGAACGTGGGACTTCCCAGTCAGAAGCCGTGGTTGACCAGTGCTGCTGCAAGTCACAGCGACAGAACCAGCGGCAAGCAACGTGAGTGGTATATTGCTCACTGGAGACCTGTTTGGTCAGGTTGGGATGTTGGAAGTTTGGGGTCTGCGCGGTTGCTGGGGGTTTGGACGGGACGTTGAGGGCGGTGATTGGTCAGCAGCAATTATCTCCCTTCCCATGCACTACGACGCGTGATTCATCCCGCCCTAGCCCTACTCTGCCTGTTTAGGCTTGGGCGAAAGGGACCTGAAGGAGCACGTCCATCAGAGCGTGATGAAACTTGAAACTTGAAACTTGAAACCATTTCTCTGCTCGCCGTATGCGTGCACTAGTTAACCTAGCTCAACCTGACGCGACTTGACCGTCTGTTGCACGCCAGGCGCTTTTCCAGCGCGTGGAGCCCTTCAATTGGCCGCTACCCCACGACGTCAAGACGTCCGTCCTTCCAAAACATGTTTCATCTTTGCCCTACGTATAACTGGTCTAGCGGTGAGTCATCTTTTGTGCATATGGCAGATGGCATATATCACCATTCAAGACCCGTCCATGGTAGTAATCCATTCCCATGTCCTTTGCGGCTCTACCCTGTCAGTAGTCGCGTCGCGCCAGAAACCAACCCCCATGAACACAGACACACGTATTGAAACAGTTTCAGGATGTGCGTTCGTGCTTCCAAGCCTCGACCGGATGGGGAGGGCTGTGTTGCAATAGAACTTGGCGTGTACTTTACAAGTTCGGATTTTCAAAGGGCGGCTATTCATTGGTCATCCAGAGACGGAGGAGTGCAGGTAGTAATATCCGCCCGTCTCAACATGCGGTAAAGAGAACGCGTCGGATTTCAAAGTGGGGGAATGAGCGATATTGCGAGAGAAGTCGTTGGCAAGAAAGGTAGAGGGAATGCCCCAGGCGCCACCAGGGCACTCTTGGAGAGAGAGAGAGAGAGAGAGAAAGAGAGTCTTGAATTACTCCCCCTACAACGGAGACGTTGGGCCAGAGCCCAACCGGGAAAACCCTCAAAATGCTCTAGTTCTAGCCTTCACGTCTGAAGCAGTGAATAGTCTGCCAAAGATGGTGGAAATCTACGGTCACGTAGACCAATTGTCATTAAGCCACCCAAGACCCAGATCCTACAATGTAGTAGGATGCTGGGGCTTCCACCCAAAGAGATGCTGCAACTACAGCCTCCGCTGCAGAAGGTGCAGCACTGAAGACCACCCTGAAGGACACCTGACATGTCACAAAGAGGAGAATGAAGTCTTTGGATTCCCCGACCGCTGCACCAATTGCTTTGGCCCTTAATGCTACAAGTGACCCTCTCTATCTAGCCCGGCCGACGGTGAAGAATGGAATAATTCAGGGACATTCAAGAATCTGGCGCAAGGCTGCTGGGAGCTCCGGTGTGAAGTCTCGTCCGATGCAATAATTGCTTGTCTTCAAGATGGCTCAGTGATAGCTATTGAGCCACACGAAGCAGAAAATCCCAAGAATCTATCAACGGCAAAGCTCAAAATGACTCAGAACTCTTATGCTGTTGCTCTGGTTGGAGGGCTCACACAAGCCATTCTAAAGCAGTTAAGCCAGCCCGAATACTCGCCCGTCTACCCGCAGATCATCCAGACCGTAAGGCAAGCCCCATTGCCAATCTTGAGAAACTGAGAACCGAGCGGGCGGAGCCTCTGGCAGCAGCAATCAAGAAAGTACAACTCAATCCCACTGGAATAACCATCACAGCACATAATCCGCAGAGTTCAGAGATATCTTTTCTCTACTTCATTTTCAGTTCTGGTCAAAGACAGATGCTCAGCTCATATATATAGAGACCACCACAGATACTATTCATTGGCACATCCAATTACTCCCTGCCAAAGGGAATTCGGTTCATGTGAGATTATCTTACGGCCCTCGACAAGCTGTGTGGCCCAGAATCAGTGGATGGGCCGGTCAATAGGCTATTTTCAACTTGACAATGCGAGAAATGACCAGACCGATACAAGTTGCCTCTCCACAGACGGCCTGACGCACCTCTTAGCATTCACAAGTATCAAGCCTACCGCCAAATTATCAAAATCGAAGCAATGTCGTGGTAGGTGATTTTTTTGACCCGGGTGTCTGTAACACCAATAGGAACACTCCCGTACTAGGCCAGCAACTAACCTCCCTTATTTTTGAGCGACCGGCGCATCGGATTCATGAGCTAATTTGCTGTTGATGACAGCGGTATGAAACTTAGCGAACCCAAAATCCTTGAAAGGACGCCTGACTTTGATGAGTTGTGTGGAGATATGCTATCATCGAGACAAAGTATTTGCTTTTATTACCGCATGACTTGGCAACCCTTGCAGCCTAATTGCGCTATGACCGAGGTTAACTTTTCGTCATATCTGGGTCAGAAACTCGATTCGCCGTCCGATTATTGGCACACACTGCAGAAAACGTTTGGACCAAGGAGAGGCTCGCGGGACGGGCGGGATGAGCCTTAGTTCTCGCTTGCACAGCTTCAACGTATATGCCAAGGCGCTAATCCAAACCGAACCTCTCAGAGGTTACTCCGTACTTGATCCTGTAGCGAATAGGCGGGCAGGTCTGATTGAACAAAAAGCACGATAGTCATCGATTTAAAGAAGTGAGAGAGGCTAAATACAGAGGATACAGTACAATTGAAGCTGACTAATCAAGTATCGTAACTAACAAATCCAATAGCGCCCCGGGCTACGCTACATTGGAGGAACCAAGTTCAAGAAGCAAGGTGCGCCTTTCGAATGTGGTCTATTCAGAGTTTTTGTTTTGTGCCTTCAAAATCCTTTGCAGGCTCTCATCAATACTTCTCAGCCTTTTCTATGGCGCGGTGCATTCCAAGGGCAAGAAGGTATTCGATCCTTTTTGATCGCTCCGGTCGGGCACATAAGTGTGAGCAGGTTCTCCATTCTCATCCAAAGAATTGAGCTTCTCATTCCAGTGTTATCACGCCTTACTAAACTTCTCGCTCATTTACCCTGATGCCAGGTGCGAAAATAAATCCTATGTCGTGAAACGCTTAACCCCAGATGTATTTAAGCAGTCCTTACAGCTCAAAAACGAGTTTGCAGAAACGAGTTTGCAGATACTCATCACCTGCGAATGCACATTGACTACAACAAAGAGGAGCACACCCTAGTTTACAGATACTTCAGGAACGACCTACTTTCTTTGGTGAAGGACAACCCGAATTTTCCCCTTGCTGCAAGAAAACAGATTCTGTGGGAAGCTGGGAAAGCACTGAAGAAGTTGCACGCAAGGAGCTGGATGCATGTAGGTCAGCCGCCATGAAATTTGACTGTCTAAAGCTTTTTTGTCGATCGAGTACTACATGTTGAAGCCTGACAATGTCATGGGCCAACTGGAGCCTTGACAAACAGGGCCGGGTTAGCATAGACAGAATGGCCTTGGCTGATCTAGACTACGGTTTGAAGGTGAAAGACAGTCAGCTTCTCCGGCTCCCCGGTGCACAGAGAATAGGAAATCCCACGTGGCGTAGCCCAGAAGCGCAAACGGGGAAGGGAATCCATAAAAAGTCGGACGTGTTCTCTTATGGAATTGTGGGGAGTTGACTCGGTTCCACAGAAGGACATTTGCTAATTACCACTCCTAATGTCTCTATACAATCACGGGGTTGGAGGTACTGCACGTGGATTTCCAGGAGTTAAGGGAAACAGTTTTGACCAGAATGCTCGTGTTCTTTGGTCCACTTCCTCAAGGACTCCTGACGCAAACAATGATGAGGTGTGGGAGGGTCTGCTGATGGGACTATCGCAAACTAGTAGAGGAAGGCGGAGATTCAAGCAAGCCTTTTGAGCATCGGGAGCAGCAAGACTCTTCCCGAACCTTGATATTGAAACAAAGAGAGTGTTATCTAGGATAAAAATAAAAATAAAAAAAAAGGGAAAAAGCGAGAGAAAAACGGAGGTCGAAAAGCAGCAAGGCACAACAGCCAAAGGTGCAAGTTGTATCAAAGAAGTCGTTGTAGAACAGTGGAAAGCGGAAGGGTAGAAAGGCGTTACGGGATCACAAGAGCACGAGGTAGGCGAGCGCCAGGAAACATGGTGAATCGGTCTTGGTTGGGAAGGAGGGCGGTATTTATATGCCTCAAAAGCGGCGAGGAAGGTCGGCCGTAACCATTGTATATGTATATATACATCATTTTATCTATAATTTTGATAAAAATTACTCTCAAATGTATAGATGTATATACCTGTGATGATAGAAATATCTGATATTTAATATTCTCTCACTACCTGGGTGAGTGTCAAGGTTGCCAAATATTTATGCAGAGGCACTGTATAGTTATTCAAAGGGACTATTAATAAAAAATAATAAACCGTAATCAACTCGCGCGGCTTTTGCTTATCTTCTTCTGCCGCTTCCCTCAGCTCCGGGTGGTATGGAATTTTCCTCTATGCCGCCGACTCCCATCTAGAAGAGAATAACAAACAAACAAACAAAAAAAAAAAAAAAAAAAAAAAAAAAAAAACCTCAGAAACCTTTCGCGAATTTCAACAAACGGGGAATCCAATGGAGAAACGAAAAATAAAATGAAGAAATATGCACTTCAAGGGCGGTATTGTGAATGGATGATGCGAACTCCTAGCTAGGAGGGTTTGGCCAGCCCGGGTCTATATACCTATATACGTCCCTGCGTCCTGTCCCCACGTCAATCTCCCTCCCACCTTGGTGCTACCTTCTGCTCACTCTCTTATTTCAGCCTTGCCACTCCATTCCATCTATTATTACGCCTATTCCATGTTTATCTCATCTCTCGTCTCTGGGTTTTAAGAAAAAAAAAAAAAAAGGCTATGCCTTGATCTCGTACTCGCGTCGGAACATGTCATCCACCTTGGTCAGGTAGTAGGTTCCAGGGATGATGGTGTCCGTGTTCCCCGCCGGGACAAAGTCCTTCTTGAGATGAGCATGTTCGCGCATAAGGCACATCTATCGTTTAAAACAAGAGTGTTTGTAAGAATTCCAACCCAAAAAGCATTTGTGATGAGGGAGTAGGCAACAAAGGTTCATTCAGGAGCGGAAAGGAATTTATAAAAACAAACTAAAAAAAAAAAAAAAAAAAAGGGTGTTGGAGGGGGGAGAGAATGGAAAATGGACGATCTCAATCTCACCTGATCATACACCTCAGGCGCCACAGTCTTCCGTGCCGCAAGCCTCTTCTTCAAATCAATCTTCTCCACAATAGTCGACACGTCCCCAACAACCTTAACGCTAAACATCGAGCTCGCCAACCCACTACCATAGCTAAAGATACCAACCCTCTTCACCTTCTCCGCCGGATCGAAAGTCGCATTCGCTAAGAGACTCACAAGACCCCCATAGACGCTTGCGCAGTACATATTCCCGCACATCGTCGGCACTTCGATGGATGGCTGCACGCGCTCGCCAAACCGCTTCTTCGTCAAGGCCATAAACGCTTTCTCCACGTTCCTGTCGCTTAGGGACGCTTCGTAGTCCAGATCTCGGAGCTCAGCGGGGACTTCAGCGAAGGCTGGGTGGGCGGGATCGGCAAGGAAGTCATTGTATAGCAGGCGTGCGTAGGACTTGGCGACGAGCTTGCATGTTGGGGCGTGGAAGATGACATGGTCGAAGCGATCGAGGGGGGTGTTGGAGTCATCGTTGTCCCCTGTGGCAGGTGCCGCCCCGTTGCTATTTACGCTGTTGCTGTTGTTGCTGTTGTTGTTGTTGCTGTTGCTGCTGCTGCTGCTGTTGCTGCTGCTGCTGCTGTTGCTGCTGTTGAAAGCATGGCCATTCTGGTGGGTGGATTTAGCTTTTAGGACCTTCTCCCTGGCATTGTAGGCCTTGTAGCACGAATCGACGGCCTGCGTGTAGCATCTGATGGAATAGTGGCCGTCGACGTATGGGTATTCGCTGGTGAGATCTGGTTTGTAGAAGTCATATGCGTGGGTGATGTGGGAGCCGCGGAGACCCGGTTCGAAAACAATGGGTGCATCGGGACCAATGAGCATGGCGATGCAGCCCGCGCCACCGGTGGGACGGGCAGCGCCCTTCTTATACAGAGCGATATCACCCGTGACGACGACGGCATCTCTGCCGTCCCAGGCGGACGACTCGAGCCAGTTGATTGAGTTGAAGACGGCATTTGTGCCGCCGTAGCAGGCATTGACGGTGTCGACGCCTTCGACGTTTGTGTTTCCGGACTCCGCGAAGAGTTGCATCAGGACTGATTTTACGGATTTGGATTTGTCGAGGAGGGTTTCTGTGCCGACTTCGAGGCGGCCAATGGACTTGGGATCGATTGAGTACTTGCGGAGGAGGGAGGAGAGGGTCGTTAGGGACATGGAGTAGATATCTGCAGTGTCCAGCAACCTTGTAAGCCAGGGGGTGGGTCGAACCGGAAAGGTGGAGGGGGTAGGGGTAGAAAGAAATGAAAACCAAAAATTTCAAAATAGCAAAGGATATGGTGTTTCTCATACCTTCCCGGTCGTCACAGAAGCTCATCTTGGTCTGTCCAAGGCCGATGGTGTATTTTCCCTGACTGACTCCATCGAACTTTTCGAGTTCAGCTTGGTCAACGCACTGTGTACCTCCCACACCGCCATTGTCAGTCCCCATACTGTAGTTTCTAGCTTGCGAGGAATGCTTTTCGGCAACAAAAACACGACAGAGGGTTTCCAGTACCTACCTGAGAGGGAAAATAGATCTCAATGGCCTTGATGCCGATGTTCTGAGGGCGGGAGGACATTTCTGTTGTGTACCGGATTGTTGTATTAAGGGGGTGCAGGCAAAAACGGGAGGATTTGATTCTGTTGGGAAGGCGGGAGAAGATAAAGGTATCAACAGGAGACTGAGGGTAATATAGCTGAATGCCTAGGACATGCAGGGCGGAATGGGTGAGCGAAAAGGCAGTGTCGATGTCAATGAAAATATAAAAGTAGCCCCGATTTCTGTGGAGTGCGTCGTAGTGCCCGGAAGGTATTTGGCGCTGGTTGGCTGGTGGACGAAAGTTTAGTCGGAGCGGCCAAAGCGAAAATAATCGTACCACGGGTGCGGGGGAATCCCAGGGACTAAGGGGATAGGGGCCCCCCCAGGGGGGAGGGTAGAGGCAAGATTGGGTTGAAGGAAGCAAAAAGAGAGTTCAATACCACCCAGTTTTACCATTCTTTATTATTATCATCATCATCATCATCATTATCATTGTTGTTGTTGTTGTTGTTGTTATTATTATTATTATTATCCTCATCATTATGAATATCATTTTATTATTATTATTTCAAATGCCTATGAGCAGAAGTTGAATGGATTTATTGTCTATACTTTGACTTCTGGAGCCTAAACAAGAGAAGCGTAGGAGGAATAGGGGACGGTGTGAAGAAGAGATTGTTATTTTGTCTGCAGAACTGCTCGGTTGAGGACCGTGTGGCGGCATATTATGTATATATATATATATATATATATTGGCACGTAACAGATAGAACAGACAACCCCATTCAATCCTCCATGCTGTAACGTGGATTGTCCTTCACGGCCTTTTATTTTCCCTGCATTCTTCTCGCTCATCAAGCTACTATCGTGTGCCTTACCCTGCTACCTCATCAGGAGCGGATGATCGAGTGAGATACAGAGATTCAATAGACCAAGCCACACCGCACCACCACCGCACACTATGTGACTAGTGCTAGGGCGAAGAAAGCAAAAACTGCTGCGACACCGACACAAATGCAGCATTAGTTTTCGTTCTACTTATCAGGGTGCTGAGAGTGTGCTGCTTATTCCAAATATCAAATCATCAATTGATGCTGGACATGGAAAAAATATCATACCTACGTAGGTATCTCGACAGATGCTGACAGCAATGGGCTTCGTACAACAAGCTAGTTATCTGCCGTAGATAACCTGGAACTCTACATTCACCTGCCCGTTTCAACCTATGGATAATAATTACTCCCATTTACTACCAAATCAAACAGCAATATTCAGGCCCAGGAGTCTCAATCGTCGCCGTCATCGGCCGGCTTGCAGTCGATGCTGTTCCGGCGACCTGGTTTCCGCAAACGTCTGCCACTCACGTTGTTGGCCCTGCATCCATGGATGGATGGTTCCGGGTATCACGGCTATAGCTACGGGCAATCTTACAGCAAGGAACCAGGGGAGAGAAGGCCTCCTTTCATATTTGCTTTTTCTTTTCTACTTCAGGGCTTCCCCGAAGTCTAGTTGAAGTAACTAGTTAGTTAGTAACTAACTAACTATCTAGTTGGGCCCAATTAACCAAGCAGTTGATGTTGTAGTTATCCTCCCTCCCAAACACAAAAAATATTAATCTTGTAGCCTGCGTAAGCAGGCAGCGACGTTTTATTCTTGCACACTTATTCCCCATGCTGCCATTTCAAGCCTCTTGTCGCTGCCTGACGAATCCATCTCCCAATCCTCCCCCCTCCCCAGCTTGCAGTCCCAGGCGGAGTTCCTGTTTATCGGGAAGGTTTCAGGTACGATGGCTCTACGTCGCGGGGATGTCATATACGGAACCCTTCAACAAAACTACAATTCTGTGCTCAGCGGCCGATTCACCCATCTATCCAACCTATCCGCAGTACCGATTGCGTTTTCTGAGGGAAGTTTCCTTGAACCAAACCTTCAAGTAGGGCCACGTGCTGGGAATGCATTTTCTTTCTTTCTTTCTTTCTTTTTCTTTTTTGGCTAGTAGCTCAATTGGATCAGGCAACCATATACACATAATATAAAGTACATGGAAAGTACGGCATACAACCAAAACGATCTCCGTGCCCAAAATATCAATAAATTAGACGCAGGGCTACGTCGGAAGCGATCATCGAATTGGCGTCTTCCTCAGTGTCACGACTAACGTGACCAGTTAGCCTCGATGTCGCCAAAAAATGCCCCAACGAGTTCCATGGGGCGATTTGCCGTCGATTCCGGCTATAGAGAAGATGGTCAATTGGAAACATGGGAGTAGATTAGGCAGAATCTATTACATCACCAGGAATTTTCTTTCGGACCATCAGAGTAAGGGGGAGTAGCTTGTGAGACTGGCATCAAACATCCAGAAGTTAGATATTCCGAGGGATGCTGCAGTGCCTGGATCTGGCAACGGAATTGACGTCCATATTGCAGGGGCCTGCAGTAGAAGGTAAGCCTTTGCTCATCATGAAGCTTTGTTGTCTTAAAAATGAGCGCGAAGAGTGGGACATTCTTGAATTTCAATTGTGAGGACTGCAAAGGTGCCTAGGTAACGGAAACGCCCTTGATTTGAGTTAGCTGCAATCGTGCCATCGTCTCTGTGGGGATTCAAGATGAAGGCTTCTTCTTATTGAAATCAAGATATCGGCCTATCAACGTAGGTAAACATCGTCTAGAATTCTTGAGAAAGAAGCATCCAAATCAGAACTACAGAGCAGATTGTAGAGGATGGTGATGAACTGCTTCGAAGGGATGGGATGTGTTCGCATGTCGAGGCATCCTCACTGGCGGCCCGCATTTAAGATGGAAGAGAGTAAGATTTTGGTGAGGGACATGGAAAGGGATAGCGCCAGTGCAGCAGTCGCATACAGCAGAAGAGGCCAGCAGGTGCAGTGTACCCCCAACAATGCTTTTCATGAGTCCCACACGGCGGATTGAATCTGAACAGTGATGGTTGATTGATTGATGCATTCCGTGGATGTGACGGGCCGTTGACAAACCTTGGAGCAAAAAGTTGACACAGTCAGCAATAGTGGCGCATGCCGCAGCAGGTTGGTTTGGTGGCTTTTTGGGCTCTGGTAAATTTTCCGCTAGTGCCTTGTCGGAGGCTCCGAGGCAAAACCAACGACGACTCATCATCCCCTTGGAACTTCCAAGGGCCATCGGAGATGGACATCTATTTTAAACCCGTTACCAGATCTCACCTTATCAACACACGCGGGCTTGGGTCTCGCCATATCTATCTACTTTACCAGCCTGGACTCTCCTTCGCCTCGACGACTGCTCGACCACGTTCTCTGAGGATGTATCGTGCTGTTTCGATGACGGGAACAATGCCATGATACCGCACATCTCCAGACCTCCTTGATTGAAAGCTCTCGTCCCTCGATCCTTCAGGGGAGCTCAGGGGAATTCAGGGGCCTCTCAGTTGCTACCGTTCCACCGCAGCAATGGGCGACGAGAAATCAAAGTACGAATTCCTTCCCATCCCTTCCTACGAAGAAGCCACCTCCTCCCATCCTGTCTCCTCCCAATCTCGCATCGGCCCAGAAGAAGTCAGCGATGATGCCGAGAGACAAGGTCTCCTCAGCCACGACTCTGGCCGGCAGGCTCGGGAGTCAAGATATCCGGGAAACTACCAGCCACCAATGGTAGAGTCGGCACGATCAAGTCTTGAATTCCCCCCTTCGACAAATGGGGGTAGTTCTGCGCGTGGATCGACGGAGGAACTACGGTGGGAGTTGGAGCAGATGGATGTGGAAGATCCAGGAGAAGAATCCTCTGCGTCGGCATCGCGGTCTTCATTCTCGAAACGCTTTACGTATTTCAAAAGGACACTGTCCTCGATACATCTACCGTTGCAGAAATATATACCCAAGTTCAATTTCAAAGTGTTCTCGTGGATGAACCATCAACATTGCATCATAATATTAAGACTGATTGGATTGCTCTTTGTCGTGGGGATTATCTACGCCCTTATGGTTTCTGATGTCTTCAGCTTCTCTCGCAGGTTAAATATTGGCCAGATGTACGAGCCGGAGTCGGTACGGCTATACGTCCAGAGCCATATTAACGAGTCTTCAATTGCCGAGTATCTTCAGGTTATGACAAAATTCCCTCATGTTGCTGGGACTGAAGGGAATTATGTTTTGGCACAGTGGATCGAAGAGAAATTCAAGTCTTCGCTTATGGACGACGTTACGATTGAGAGATTCGATGTATACCTAAACTATCCCAAAGAGAATGGACGAAGGATCGCCATCATAGATCCACCAGAGCTCGCATGGGAGGCCAAAATCGACGAAGAACAAGCATACAGGAGCCCTTCGCAAGAGCAGTCTCTCGTGTTCCACGGACATTCGAAATCCGGTAATGTTACAGGCCATCTTGTATATGCGAATTACGGATCACGGACAGATTTCAAGGCGCTCTCTGATATGGGTGTGAATTTGAACGGTTCAATTGTCCTGGTTCGATATTATGGCACTCAGCGCGACGGTGCAATGAAAATAAAAGCTGCTGAATTGGCTGGAGCTGCTGGGTGCATTATCTATTCCGACCCCGCTGAGGATGGGTTCGTCCAAGGCCCAACGTGGCCAAAGGGGCGATATATGCCTAGTGATGGGGTGCAGCGAGGAAGGGTGAGTACGACGTCTTGGGTAGTCGGTGACGTATTGAGTCCCGGATGGGCGTCTCGGCCTAATGAAAAAAAGAGACTCCATCCGGAGGACAGTAAGGCGCTTCCTAAAATCCCTAGCATCCCCATTGCGTGGCGTGATGCTCAACCGTTGTTGAAAGCGCTTCGGGGTCATGGAAAGAAGGTCCCCAAGGAATGGGTGGGAGGAGTCCCAGAAGTTGGGGAGTGGTGGTCTGGCGATCCATCATCACCGAAGGTCAACCTTATAAATATCCAGGATGAAGTGGAGCGCCAACCGATATACAATGTAATCGGCAGAATAGTTGGAATCGAACAGTCTGAAAAGAAGATTATTGTTGGCAGCTCTCGAGATGCATGGTGTTTTGGGGCTGCGGATTCAGGAGGCGGAAGTGCAGTCCTTCTTGAAGTGGCCAGGGTGTTCGGAAAGCTACGTGCCCATGGCTGGCGACCACTACGGACTATCGAGTTCGCCAGTTGGGATGGAGAGGACTATAATCTGATCGGATCCACCGAGCACGTCGAAAACGATATCGATGATCTCCGCCGCAACGGCTTTGCCTATGTTAACGTCGATGTTGCAGTGTCAGGCACCAAATTCCGCGCTGCCGCATCCCCTGTCTTCGAGCGCATCCTCCTACAGATCCTCAAACGTACTTCAGATCCAGTCACGAACGAAACACTGCGGTCCCTATGGGATAAACACGGGTCCAAACTCGAAGCCCTAGGCGCAGGAAGTGACTATGTTGCCTTCCAAGATATTGCAGGCATGTCGAGCATCGACATTGGCTTCACTGGCGACCCCTACCCTTTCCACAGCTGCTACGACAATTACGATTGGATGGCCACAGTTGGCGACCCGGATTTCCAATACCACAAAGTTCTTGGGCAGATTTGGGCCTTGCTCCTCCTCGAACTTTCAGATAGCCCGATCCTCCCCTTTGAGATGGAAACCTACTCCTCCGCCGTCACGAAATATGTCTCCGATCTGGAAAGTTATACCAAATCCAAAAATGTTCCCTTCCTACACCCTCGAGGCCAATATCGACCGCCTGATAAAGGCAATGAGGGCGTTAAGAAACCCCTCCCGGATCCAAACGTGGTTAACATGCAGCCTCTGCATGATGCTGCAAAGGTATTCCGTGAAAATGCCGCTTCGTTCCGTCGGTGGGGATACAATTGGAATGCAACACTTGTGTCTTCCGGCGGCTATGAAAGCAGTGCCATGGCCATCAGACGCATGAGCCATAATAGCCACATGACCTACTTTGAAACTCATCTTTTGGATCTAGAAAAAGACGGCGGAGTAAGTCCTTTTCTTCTCTCGTACCGAGCTGCCCTTTCAATTTCCCTTATGTTTCAGCTACAATTATGATAGCAAAAATTTTATGCTAACCATTTGTATCTTTCCTCCTTTTTCTTTTATCACTGATAGATCCCAAACCGAACACAATTCAAACATGTCATCTTCGGACCGCAGGCATGGTCGGCCCAAGATGCTGCAATCTTCCCCGCAATACGTGATGCTATCGATTCCGGGAACTGGACAGAGACGCAGAGATGGATAGACAGGGTATCTAAGATCCTTACTGATGCCAGCATAGGGCTCAGTATCTGAGAAAGAACTTTCCTTTTCCTTCCCGTCCTCTTAAATCACCTGAAAATGTATATACTAAATACCACCAGAGGCAGAAAGAGGTGAAGAAAAGAAAAGAAAAGACAACCAGCCAGTTCATTACCCTCTTGCGAGCTGCATCTTCATGTCTTCTTCCTTGTGCTCTATGCTCTGTGTTACTTTACTTCAAAAAGAAGTATTCCCAACCTCACATTCATATCTTGTTATGAATGAATGCATGCAGAGTACCTTTTTCTTTCGCCCCACGTGCCATCCCCATCTTACACACCCGGCACATCCTTCTCCTATGTCCTTCTTTTTTGTCTTTCTTATATATACCTATGTATACTCGAGCCATCGATTTATTTTCACCATCAATTTTTTTCATTCCCAACACCTAGTCTTTTCATCTGCGAAAAAGATAGCTTTGCCTATTCTCCGCCCGCTATCCCATTGACAGCCCACTCTGATCTTCGCTGGTTTTCATTTGCACATCTCCAATATCTGGATACGGGTATGCAGAACGTCAGAATTTCCTTCCCATTTTCACAATTTCCACTAGTATTTTCTTTTCTTTTCTTTTTGTACCCCTTTTTTTTTTTTTTTTTTTTTTTTTTTTTTTTTTTCATTTCCACTTACGTTTTATTTTGATTATATTATATTATATATATATTGTCAGCTAGGATATGTGTTTTCTTATTTTGGTGTATTTTCTCTCTTTCTTTTCCTTCCACTTCTTTCGACTGATTTTTTCCTTCTTGTTTGTATTTTTATACACCCTCGGAGCAAGCGCTTCTTCTAAAATATCACAGATCAGATACCAATCAATACAGGATTGATTCCACTGTTAGTTATGTCCATTTGAATTTTTTTAGCCACTTTTTGTAGATTTCTTCCGAGGGTAGCTGGGTTGAATGGCAAATGCTTCAATTCAGGAAGTAGATAGATGTCATAGAGCTTTTTGCCCTATTTCATTTTACTCGGTATCCTCTACACTCACTTATTCTGTCCAACAACTTCTCTCCGTCGCTACATGTTTTCATACTTTAAAAGACAATATCAGATCATCCAGCTTCAAAGCAGAATCAATTAATTATTAATACCTATATAGTACCTATATAGTTTTCCCTTTGTGTTTATGTGTCTATGATTATACAACCGTCCAAGTCATTTGCATACAAATAAAATAAGTTTTCCAAATGTTCCCATGCAACAGAAAACTAGTGCAGATTCCTGGCTTGTGCCAATTATCGTCCTTTGACGCAGCTTTGAAAAAAAAAAAAAAAAAAAAAAAAAAAAAAAGGGGACATGACCAACCTGATGACGTGAACAAAACAGTACTACCCCATGAAGCGATATTGGCCCTCTTGCTCGTAGTCAAACAAATTTGGAGACTGAGACAATATGCCCTTGCCCCACACGCCTTGTTTGGTCACCGCCGTCTATCCTTAGGACAGCGGACTTTGACGACGACCAACTCTCCGTTTGTCCGGGAAGGGGAGGTTCTGGTGGTAGGTTTCTGGGCTTTCAGTATCTGGGTAACATGAGCACGCCGACTGAGTCATTTCAACCTGCTGTCGGAGTGGTGAGGGGGGGAAAAAAACCAAGAGAAGCATCAAAATATCAAATCAGCTTTTAAAAAAGGTAAAAGAGGACAAAAAGAAATAGAAAAGCAAATAGCAAACAACTGTTTTTGGTCGTATATGATAAAATCTGGTTCCTTTCTTTTTTCTTCTTTATTTTTCCTTTTCGCTGATCGGAGCTGAGATATGGGGTAATATTTGATTATCGTGTGCTCCTGAGGTCATTTCATTCTTTCCCATATTGTCTCATGTATCGACCCAGATTCCGGGAGGTCGTAATCAAACCAACAATATCAATCGGTATCGATCATAGATCTAGCTGGGAGGAAGATTTTTCATGTCACCTTTACCATCCTTGATCCAAGCGGGGTCAATGAGTCGTTCTCTCTCAGCATAGATTTGCTTGTAGGCTCCCCGGATCGTCCCATCGCTAACATGCGCAACGGTGGAGATCTCCTTGGCGGATTTTCCCTGACCCATCAAAAAGGAAGCCATGTAGATCGACGCTGCCACGATAGACAATGGAGACCGACCGGCAAGCTCACCAGTGGATGTAACTCGGTCAGCCAACGCAGAAGACACGTTGGTAACTTGGAAGGGAAGATCGAGCAGATTGCAAAACCTATTGCAGAGGTCGCTAGGCTTGGTGGAGGTTGTGGCAGTGTAAGTCTCGTTGGGGTCAGGAACACCTGAATATTTTTCACGTTAAATTAGTTCTGGGTGAATTCAAATGGAGCCAAAAATCTTGTTATCTTCTTGTTATGGTATGAGAGCGAAATCTTACCGCCACTGGAAACCACGGAATTGATTCGCTCCAGGTTCTGGGCAGTGAAAAACTTTTCAAGAGCCTTATAGATCCGCCCGATTTCCTTCTTCGTAACCCGTGTTACGGCAAAAATCTCCGTGAAGGTTCGAGGAACTTTGCACTGGCGACAGGCAATGAAGATACAGCCAGCAATGATCACATCCTGCGACTTCCCCTTGAATGCCTTTGCGTCATCCACAATTTTGAACAAGTACTTGGCAGTATCGGCAACGTTTTTCGGGATGTTGAACCCGTCACAAAGCGCACCAATTTCCTTGTACGCCGCCAGTAAAGTTTTATTAGTCTTCTCACTGGACATTTTGTTCTGGGCACGGTGCAAATCCCGACTTCGAGAACCTCCAACACCATATGAAATTTGAGTCTCAAGCTGGTTACCATTTAGGAGCGGATTCACGGCATCTCCAACACGAGAAGGGTCATCATTGTTTTGATCATCGTTCGAGAAGGTACGCCATTCAGAATGTTGGTCAATCTCTCGGTCTGCCAAGACGAGACCACAGGTTCCACAGATGGTCTCATGAGAATCCGGGGTTACAAGATTGGGAGGCGTTTCCCTGCATTCGGGACACACCAAGTAAGCAGCAAGGTTTTCTTTCCAGAGAATGCCAGATTCACTTCGTAACCCGGTCCCCACAGCAGCCATTTTCTTCGCCGTGGAGATCTTTTTGACGCCCAACCGGTCACGCTGGCGCCTTTTGATAGTCTTATAAGAAACTTTGAGATTATGTTGCAAGGCGTACACACGTATGAACAATGGCGAATACAGTTTGGCGACTGTAGGGTAACAGGGTCTGATTGCCCAGAGGGTCTGGATTTAAGGAAAATGAAAGGAATGGACGAGTGGCAAGCGTTATATATCCACGTCTTGACGACTGGAGGAAGCATCCACTATCTTTTACGATCATGTTAGCTTCATCAAATAACTATAGTATCCTTTTAACGCTCATCTCAAGATCACATATTACAAAGTAGGCAGAGCTAGAAAATGAATTGTGGATGACTCTTGGGCCGTCTCAAACAGCTGTATGAGAACACCGCGTAAACCCAAAGGATAGCAAATCTATCTCAGCTTTACCTTTCACGAACTACTACGACAGTTTCACACAGAACGGTGCTCAAGCTCCCCGGCGCAAAAGGTTCAACCCCGTGAAATGAAGACTCTCGACACCCCCCCGTCAGAGTTGTCGAGGCAAGACCGGACTGCTGAAGTCCCCGCGAAGCTGAGGTTGAAAACGAGTCAGATGTTGCACGAAACAGGCGTCGTTATCGGTGCCAACTATCGGTTAAGGCTTCTCAGAACACATCCAAACCCTGCAGCGATGCGGGCACATTTGAAGCAGACAGGTATTCACGGCCAGAGACTCAGATGGGGATGGGTTGACGGGGTTGGAGAGATGGTTGTAAGATGACCGGGGGGAGGAGGTTGATTGCGCGAGGTTGCAGTTGACCAGAAGGTCGGTAGGGACGGACGGCGGGGCGATGTGTTCACGTGATGATGATAACTGACTTACTGATGAGTCAGCAGTGCCAAGCCGTGTGCTTCCCACCAACAACGCCCGATCCGGATAATGAGCAGCAAAATTCGATCATGGTTTGATGTTGTTCCCCTTTTCTCCCGCCGCAACCACGCTAACCACCGTCTTGTCGTCTTTTGATGTCGACTGCCATGATGTCTCAATCCCTCAGAACATCGGTAGGAGCCATTGGAACTCCCCGGGTAACGAAGGCCGTGACTGACCGTACTCCAGGGCTCTCTTCTGGCCCGAACAACCCGACAACCTCTTAGGGTTGCCCGTCGCACCTTCATCGCTACCCCTATCAGACAAGGTATATATACTCACATTGAATGATGCATATCATATGCCCACGCAAAGATCCGGGCATGCATACCATTCCCGATAACTAACGCGAGCATAAAAACTTCTTTCTACGTTCTACCGCTTCCCAGCCGATCTCATACAGGATATGTACCTCCGCGAACTCCGCGCCTACAAACCCCCACCAACCAAACCCTCCGATGCCGATGCGCACGTCCAGAAATTCAGCATCCCCAAGCCCCCCCCGTCCCCCGAGGAGGCCAACATCGCCGCTGATCTGAAGGCATACGAGTCCCAAGAGGTCGAGGTGGAAGGCCAAGCGGCTAGCGGCGAGGCTGCTCCCGTCGAGGAGGATTGGTTTGAGGATGAAGATGAGGCACCCGCTGCCCATTAAGAAGATAGAATTGCAGGACAAGAAAATCTCTTTTGAATAGATCCTTTGTGTGTGTGTGTGTGTGTGTGTGTGTGTGTGTGTGTGTCGTCGGTGTTGAAACGACACGGGAAATCCTGTAAAGATATATACATTTCCAAATACTTTTTACACCCAATCTTTCTTTTATCTTTTCCCTCCATTCGTTTCGTATCTCATTTTGGTCTGGGGACTCCATGCTATATTCAACCGAAACTGGCACTGTGCGCGGCGGATTTAATTAGGCCAAATGCTGGGAATTGTCCGCAGATATACAAGATCTTTCCTGACGAATGTACAGTATGAAATCAGATCCAAGGGGATTTACACTGGTTAAACAATAGCAAGACGTTTCCTGCCTTGGACTTCTCAAAACCCATCGGGGAAGCGATATGGGACAATAGTATAAGAAAAGGGATATCCTTCGTGCGGCCTTGACCCTGCCGAACAGAGATATAAAAGCGGTTGTATGTACTGCAACAGCAATATTCTGAATATGTCGGATTAATGACGACGATAAACACCAGATCTCAATTGCCATTTCTTTTGAATGAATTGGAGGCCAGGGAATGAAGAGATGTTAGAGAGAAGAAAGAGAGGAAGCTCCGGCAAAAAGATTGTCTTAATGCGAAACATCAGCCCCATACCTGGCCTTGGATCCACGAAGGCAAGTCTTGGCTCTTTTACGGATAAGTTAGATACACAATTGCGACAGCCAGTAAGAACAGGTAGGTTAAAAAACCATAAAAAAAAAAAAAAAAAAAAAAAAAAAGAGAGAGAGAGAGAGAGAGAATGACTTGTGCATACGTTCTAGCTAGTTCTAGAACCTGACATCTGAGATCCTATGTTTGGGTGCCGGGCGGCGCCGTATTTTGCATTGATCATTGAATAGTCAAACATGTGGGTAATAACCGGAATGCCGGGGGGTTGTCAAAAACCTTGGTTGCAAGGTTATAACCTACCTGCGATAGGTCTGTGAAATGATGGGTAGGTTGCATGCAAAGTTGGCAAGCAAGCAAATAAGCTTGTTAACGAGACATGGACGCTGGCAGTGTGAATCTGGAGAACAACAAATGATGACGGAAATCGCCACATTCACCGAGACCCAGAAGATATAAATAAAATCAGGCGGGGTGATAAAGAACAACGACAGCCTCAGATCTTCCCTTCCCTCCCCACATACTTTCTTATTTTTAACTCTCTTCTTAAACTGTCTCCGTCGAGGCTGAAGGGTACGGCGCAGGGCTGAGCTGCCATGCACTTGGGCGTAGTCAAACAAGATTCAACGGCTGCTGTACCTCCAGAAGTAATAACAAAAACTGAGAGAAAGCGGGAAATGCTGAACTATCTATCAATAATAAGAAGACTCGGACTAAGAATCAGAATCAGAACAATAACAATGATAATAATAATAATAATAATAATAATAATAATAATATATAGTAATAGTTAAATATAATAATAATAAGCACAACAACAACACCAATGCCAACAACAACAACAGCAACAACAACAACAACAACAGCAACAACAACAACAACAACAACAACAACAACAACAACAACAACAACAACAACAACAACAACAACAACAACAACAACAACAACAACAACAACAGCAGCAACAACAATAATACAATGCTATAATAAAACCCAAGCCTCTGCCCTCGGAAGCGTGGGAGCCTGAGTTAGTTGTTATGTCAGGACTGAAATAGCAACCAACCACATCCCGCCAACCAACGTGCTGGGGGGGGGGGTGGTGCCATCAATGACCTCAGTCACAACACCCACCCACCCACCCACCCACACTGACTGACCGACCGACCGACCGCTTGTCAACTTATTCTGCCAGCTGCTCTCTGCCTGTTCTGTTCTGCTGCCAGCCGTCCGAGGTCTGGCACCAACCACCACTTGCGCTCCCAGATTGAAAGCCTCGTTCCTCGTTCCTCCGCCCTCTGCCTCTCTATTAATTCAATTTTTGTTCCCTCGCTTTGCCTGTCCCCTTGCTTGAAGCTATTTGGCTTCTTTGTCTTTTCCTCGTCCTCGTCCTTTGGGCTCCACTCTCGTTTTCGTTTTCTAATTCCCCCCTCCCTCCTCTCCTGCCCCCTTCTCTTTCTACGCCCTTTCCCCCGTTTACTGTCGTTGCCGCAAATCTGAACAAACACCCCCCCATTTTGAGTGTATCCCGCTCTGCTCCCCTTCAGTCACCTCCTGACGCACACCAACCTCTACTCCTCCGTACTCCAGTTCATGGCGCTGGACGAGGACGTGATCTCCGTTTATTCACACAAAATCTCGTCGATGTAAAATTGCCAGACTGTAAGTTCCAAACACACTTCCCGTTGTTGTTTTTTTTTTTTTTTTTTTTTTTTTTTTTTGCTTCTCCCCGTCAACGCCTAGCCTAGTAGGAGAGAATGGAGAGTAGCTTTGTCCCGGATCCGTCCTTCATAGTTTTCTACTCTATGCTAACTAGACCCAATTATTCTCTCCATCTACAGCGTCAGAGCTGTCTCGTCAGCTTCCCACGCCTTTCGGCTCTTCTGTTAACCCGCCGTCGTTACCTCTGTCCTCTTATCATACCGCCCTCGCCCTTTTTCCCCTTTTTACATTTAACAACGTCTTGCTATCTGATTCTTCCACAAAGAGGAAGCAGAGACTCCCCCGCTGCGCCCGCACAAAGCCCGTCCCAAGCGCAAACCCACAAATGGTTTGACGGTGCGCATTTTAAAACCAAAACCTTCTCTGCGGAGAGCTGGTCTCTCCTTGATCCCGGGACCTCCGCCTGACTGACTTCCATATCTCCGGAGACACCCCCTTGATACCACCCCTCCTCCACGTTTCCCCAGGTGTTGACTGTTCTCCGTTGAGAGCATGCCTAACTCGTCTGCGGAGTCCCAAAATGGCGCCAGTTCCCCTACTCTCTCACGCTCGGCTAGCTTTAATCACCTACCGGCACTGGAACCCACGGAAAGCCAATTCGATGTGAAGAGAACGCTCTCGGAGACGAATTTACTCCAGTCTGCTGAAAGTGTGGTGAAACTGGATCCACATAGCTTTGTGACAGGTAAACAAGTTTTACGCCAATCGTCTATCCACCTATCGAAAGGCAGACCAAAGAAGAAGGACTCACTCCCCATTTCGTCTCACAATAACACAGACGTTGAAGCACGTTCTGCTCCAATTGCGTCCTCATCAACTTCGAGAGAGACTCGGAACTCTTCGTCTGTAGAAAAGCCTTCGAAGTCCCGCTCAGTATCAAGCACAATTGCGACCTTTGCTCGTAAACCATGGAAGTCGTCTAGCTCCCCGTCTCCTGCAGCAATTAAAGAAGCTAAGGTCGAGGATGCAAAATCCAATGCTGGGAGCGGCACATCGTCGGAAATGGCTTCTTTAGAAAAACCAGGGGACCAGCCTGCGCCGCCCACTAAGTTGGAGAAATCTCGTCGAAATAGCCTCCAAGTAAAAAACAATCGGAAATCGGGCACCTTTGGAATCAAGCCGAAAAAGGAGGCTCCTACCGGGACACAAAAACGCCCTTCCCTTCAATCACTGCGGGCGAAAGTTTCATTGGAACGGCTCACTGGGTCTCCGGCTGGGTCAAATGATGATATTCCGCCTGTTCCTCATAAACGGACTGTTCAATTACCCCAACTCAAGATAGATGCACCTCGGAAAAAGGATCAATTGTGGTCTGTCTTTAGAGGGCTCGACACCGATTATCAAAAGTAAGATAATCCATTTTTCCTTTCTTTTAACTCAATTCATTTCTCGTGTCAGCTAACAGTTCCCAAGGTTCCACTCGAAGAATAGTTCCCTCAAGGCCAATGTCCTCCGCTCATCAGTACTTCCATTCATCTCCCGCTATGCGAACCACCCGTCCAATCAGACGCTCCGGCCCGAAGACCTTGATCGACGGACAACCATATTGAATAAATGGTGGACGGGACTCCTTGAAGTACTCAATGGGAGGACTAGTCAATCTTTAAGTGGAGTCGATAGACCAGTCTTCCTAGAAGCCATAATTGGAATCATGTCACGACCAGAATGGCGGATTCCAACCTTGCAAAATTCATCGTTGCCTGTTACACCTACAGTATCCAACAATGGAGTCCTCGTCTCAAGATCCAACACCTCCCTTGAGTCAGCGGGGACGGACTTTCTCATCGACTCTATACATCACAACATACGGAATATCTTTGCTCAAAACCTCCTGTCACAAATCTCATATTGCGTTGATAAATTGTCAATGAGGAAAACACCAGCTAGTCTTGTAACCTTCTCTGGCAAGACTTGCGCTTATGCCTTCTTTTTCTGTCCCGGTATTGCAGACGTTCTCGTGCGGCTGTGGGACACCACTCCAGATACGCTTCGAAGGGTTCTAGGTGGGTTCGGTATGGACAGCAGCTCAAAGGCCAGGGTTGAGACGTCCGAATATATCTCCTCCTTCTTCCCCGCAACGCTTCGAGCGTTAAGCTTCACGTCTCATGCCGGCCTTGTTCGCTGTCTGCGGCAGAAGACATCCCCACCACTTGGCGCAACTCACGTTAATTGGTCAGGCCCATGGGTTTCTCGTTGGTCAGGACGAGACACTGATCTTTTCTTCGTTTTTGCCAAGCATTTTCACATTCTAGTCGCCGGGTTTGTACCCGCTGCATGTGAAAGGTCGAAGTATGTCTTCGTCCCAGGGTTAATTTCGGTTCACGCTCAGATATTGACTGTTTTGGAACACACTCTCAATAAGCAGTCAACTTCTACGTCAATTGAAAATCTATATGCAGCAACCTCTACGACTTTTGATGACTTTTTTGATGGAGCGGATGCTTCAGCCTCCGCGATATCCCTAGGCACTGCAAACTTGCTGCGCATCATGTCCGAGAACCGCCTGATCCTCCTCTTGAAGGATATCGTGACTGATCGCTCCCTCGAACCGTCTATCAAGCAAATGTTCATGGAGGACTTCTGCGCTACTCTGAAGGTGGCCACGAAAAAAGTTTCCCTCTTTGATCACAACGCATGCTTTGTCCTTTTTGACTTTGTAGAGGAGCTTGTTTCGGTTATCCCGCCATACTACGAGTCGACCGGCCAACCAGATTTGCTAGAATGGGACTTTTGGCTAGATGTCTGCAAGAAAATGATGGAAAGCTACAACTCGCTTACAGAAGTGAGAGTTTTTGCTTTCATTTACTGTATTTGGAATGAGATCAATCGGACTCAAGAGAAGAAAGAAGCGTTGTGCTTGGGGATTCTCTTGAACGAAACTTATTTCTATCGATATTTTAATCACTGGAGTCCGATGGTTCGCGCTTATTTCCAGAGGTTGTTATGCTGGCGGCTGGCACGATATGAGGGGAAACCATCCGCACTAGATATGTGAGTACCAATGCGCTTTCAACAAAAAATTTAAGTCCGAAACAACAGGTTAGAAATTTGACTTAACCTTTTTTTTTTTTTTTCTCCACTATAGACGTATATACAATACCTTATTAGACAGGCTTGGTGGTGTATGGAACTATTTTCTATTCTGCAAGTCAAGGGCAGAGAGGGAATTCCAGCCGCCACTATCAACGGCACCTTGCAGCCCAGCACCAGGGCGTCGAATACTTATCATCAGGAACGACTACCATCCCACTTCCTCCCTCTTTGTCTGTTTGGACAATATCATCCCGCCTTCTGCCAACCAGCTATCAGCGTATACAAGACACGGAGCATTTCCAGACATCGAGACAAATAATACTCGTTCCGAGTCACCTCCCCCAGCGGGGAAGAAAAGATGGAAATCACTTAAAACCATATTTGCCGGTTCCTCCAACGCGAAACCAGGGGAAGTAACTCCAACCAGAAATAGTTCTGACGAGTTAGAGTGCGGCATGAGGGACGATATAGCGATTGGCGATCATGGGCTGTTCGAAAGCGAAAATCAACTGTTCGCTGAGAAGAACCCTCCAAAGTACACCTTCCGATTCTCCCTCCAGTGGAACGATCGTTCCAGATGGCCAAGCAAGGACAGACGCCTATCCCCGCCGACTTTACCCCTCCCCGCACAAACCTTCATCCAATCCCTCCGAACCCAATACGTAAAAGCCACCGACTCAGCGTCCGAATCCGTCTCCAACTCTCTATCCAGCACCATTTCAGATGACGGATCGGACAGCGAGAGTGGCGAGATGAACCACCATATCTCAAAATCAACCTCAACCTCAACAACCACAACAACAACCACAGCCGTTGCAACACTATCAGCATCAGCAACTACTACAGCCCTTGCCAATGATGCAGACATGTCTATCCCAAAACCCTCTCTGACGCTCGTCACCTCGTTTGAAGATAGCCACTTCTCCAGCGGAGAAGAGCACAGTCATAATCCCCTCGCAGCAAGCAAATATGCCGGCCGAGCCCTGGCGGAGTGGGCGCTGGTTGTTTGCGAGTGCGATAATTTCTTCACACGGAGACGGGACGAAGGGGTCCCCAGCGACGATGCGGTTGAGATCCCGATATTGGGAGTGGAGAACTTCCGCAAATAAACTTAACGAATTGCTTTTACTTTTGTATCACATGTTTTTTCCCCCTTCCCGTTTGTCCTTTTTATCTTCCCCGCTTGATTACTATTTCGTCCTGCAGATTTTTGGCCAGGGGGGGGTCATTGTACAGTACAGTGTCAACAGCATTTGGATATATTCCCGTAAAACATAACCATACATACATACACGATATTATATATATATATGTTTCTTTCCGTCTCTTGTACGGATGGCGGTATTGGTGGGTGGGTGGGGGTTTTGTCATCCTCGGTTTTCACTCCCGTTTGGTGCCGGTGGTTTGAGTGGGGCAAGTTTTCACGTGACATCAGGCTCCTTTTCCATGTGCAAAACAAAAAAACCACAGCAGAGATGGTTGTTCTCCGGTTTTCCATTTGTCAATTCTTATTCCCTCCCTTTAGAATCACAATGCTTCTCCCTCTCGTGTGTTCACGGTGCCTAGGTTTCGCGCAATTTCCCTGTTATTATTTGGTGTGTATGTATCTACTTGTCTTTTTGAGATTCGTTGCAATTAGCATTGTACGTCTGCTTTCTTTTCTTTTCTTATTGATTAATGGGGTAATTGTTTTTGCTGTTGTTGGGCGGGCTCCCGGAGAAAGGGGCTCCGGCGTATATCTTCCAGAGCTTTTTCCAGTTCTGATCAGTCAGTCGCATATCTTTTCCCTCTTTTTTTTTTTTTTTTTTTTTTTTTTTTTTTTTTTTTCCGCTCTCAACCTGCCCATCTGGCATTGGTGGGTTTAATATTGGTGCTTCTTTGCTTCTGCTAAATCTTCCCCTTAATGCAACTTGGCCCAGAGTTGATAATGCTCATTGCGTGTAATGGTAATTTCTGCGAGTGTGGAGAATGGATCGAAAAATGAACGGGTGAGGGGTTCCTCGCGTAAGAAGTAGAAGTGATTATAATTTGCTCATTTTTGCATCGAATGTTATAATAAAGTCTTATATTCTATGGACATACATTGTCATGTTGTGCAATGGAACTTCGGCTCTTTTTGCTACGAATTTTTTGTTTAGGGGTAAGATTTTAAAGTTTTGGTTGGAATGGGGGCCGACTATTGTGTTTTAAGGCCTCTTTGGCCAGGGGGGGGGGGGGGGGGGTGTTTGGAGGGAAGATCATGATCTCCCCTCCTCCATTCAGCGTCTATTTCCCTCCCTCGCCCTCTGTGCCTATATAGTAGGTTGACTAGGAAGGAGAGTTAATACGCACAGTGCTTGGGCGTAGAGGAATTGTATAAAGATTATATATATTGATGCGCTATCTGCCTACTAACACCGATGAAACAGTGGATTGAAAATAGGCCTTATTAGTGGCATGAACTTGTATATGTATATATAGCATTAGGATTTCAAAAGAAGGGACACAAAGACATGCATGCATCTGTGAGATATTTTACTAGGATTGATCATTATCTAGATAGGTTATAGCGTTTATTCTTATATACTGAATACGGATTCGAGCGGAAACCAGGTAGATAACCACTATCGTCACTAACATCGTGTTTAAAACCTTGGTGTTCCAAAGAAGGTTGCGTGTTGCCATCCCTTCCAATTGTCCAACAGGTGTTGCCTTCTTCTTTTCTTTTGGAGAGATCGGGGGGTTAGAGTTTTACCATATCCTCTTCCATTTTCCAGCACAAAGGGCCAATAACCAATAACACCAACCAACCAACAATGCACCACCTATCTTGCCAGCCTATAGTTTAAGAAGAAGCAGCATCGCCATCCAATGGTTGCGAAATCTTCTCCTCCACCTCCGGCGCAACAGAAGTTTGCTCTTCCCCTTCGTCGCCTACGGAAATAGTTTTTTGTGCGGCAGGTTCAGACACAGCCAACGGCATATCAACATGCGGCTCAATCTCCGCCTCGACAAGCGCATCTATATCATCATGACTCGACATAGACGTAGGGACCTGTACACTCCGCGGCGAAGATGACGATAACGCCGAGTCACGAACAGCAGCTGTAGCCGAGGATTCATCGTGATCAACCGCAGCGGGTTTTGAAGTCGTCTCCGTTGACAAATCGTACGCCTCAGGAGGTTGGGGGATAGTAGCGTCTTGGGAAAGTTCGCAGGGTTCAGCACGCTCCGCGGCGGGAACTTGGATAGCTGCTTCAGGTATATCCGGGGACGGTGACTTAGACTTAGAAATTCCGGGGGAAGCGTTGGCAACCACGAGAACCCCATCTCTGCCAATCTGCCAGACATCCCAGGCGCCTACGGACCGAATCTCAGGCACGGCGGACTCTTTGGCGGGTTCTGCAGCAGGGACAGCAGCAACTGCAGGTTTTCTTCTAGCTGGCCCTCGCGCTCGACCCTTCCGTGCATCGCTTAGCGGCGCTTTCTTAAACGGCTCTTCAGGTTCTGCCTTCTTTTCTAGAGGCTTGGGCCCCAACTTCAATCGACCCTCAAGATCTGCGAGAAATCCACCCTTCAGAGCAGCGATCTTTGATCCACCGGGACGAGAAGGGATGGGAGGTTTAGGTTTTGTAGCAGGCAGGGGCGTAGGTTCAGCTGAGCTTGAAGAGATTGTTTTAGGTAGGTTCTCTTCAGAGTTGTGCGATGCTGGTCTTGCTAGTCGTGCGGGATGGTGCGGCTTGGGTTTCGGACGGTTGGGGACTGCAGGAGGTTTTCTGAGCTCGGTTGGACTTGTGCTTTTCGCTTCTACGGGACTTAGGTTTGTTGATTTTGAGGGACGAGCTGGAATAGTCGGGAATGTGGGCTTCACTGAGTGTTGGGGAGACGTAGGTGTAGTTTCCTCTTCTTCAGGAATATGTTGAACTGTCGTTACGAGTTGATGGCTGTCAGGAGCATCTTCCCATATATCTTTACTTGGAAATCGCTGCTTGGAGTCTGGTCTGGGAGGCTTTTCATCCTCCAGATGGCTCTGGAACTCTTTGGATGGAGAGCTGGGTCTTATCTGTAAAGTCTGCTGTTCTGATGGCTCCGATTGGCACTTGTCTTCAGCACCGTTTAGTTCGATTGGTATATCAGGCGTTGTGACAGTAGCTTCCAGTTGTAAGCTATCGGGACTATCTTCCCAAATATCTTTACTTGGGAACCTATGTTGTTCAGGAAGACGCTTAAATCGGTCTGTAGACGTTATTTTAGTCAAGTCATCACCTTCTGGGAACAGAGGTTCAAGTTCTTGAACGTCTTCAAGTGCCGTTTTCATTTCCTCACGTTCCTCACCGCGGGAGTTGAGCCTTGCCAAGTTCAGTCCCGGACCATGCATATTGACGGGCCGGCTACTCGGGCGCATATGGGAGGCACTGTGCGTTCGACTGGGTGGTTCGGGCTCAAGAACGGGAGAGACTGCAGGTTGCATATGCTCAATACCTGGATCGATCTCATCGGACGCGAGAACGGGAGCCTCATCAGGACTGTCTTCACACCAGCCAGGCTCTTCCAATGACTGCAAATTATGTGGTTTATGATCCTCTGGTGCGGGGGCAAATCCATCAGGGTGATGTTGGTGATGAAGTGGCTCGTCGATGTGGATTACCTCCTCTTTCTCAAGAGTATCCACTGTTGAAACATCATGCTCAGTATCCAATGCACCAAGAACAGATTTCTTCCGGGGAGATTCTATGAAACTTTGCGACTTAATATACTCACCTCTAGCTAAGCTGGAACCAGCATGTGGAGAAGCAAGCCGAGACGCAAGTTCATCGGTCGCAATGTATCCTACTTCTTCTTCCGGAGTGCCCACAACATTTGCGTGAGTTGCTATAAGGGGTTAGAATGTCTTTTCACCTATTTGTTAAATTTACGTATACTCACCTAGGCCGAGACCTCTATTTGCAGAAGTTCTAACCAATTTATTTAAATCATTGCTGCTCATGGCCCATTCCGGTCGCTGGTTCCCTAGACCAGGTCCATACTGACCCTGCTCCTCCCGTGCAAGTTCGTCAGGGTGACTGTCATACCATGCTTGTTCAAATTTGTCATTCGGTTGTACTCCGTGACCATGGAGACCATAACTGCCAGGCGGAAGGGAACCTTCCCGACCACTTTTAGTTCGTTGGTGTTGACGTCCAGATCGCTGCCCAACATCACGGGCAACATCACCAAATGGAGCTGGTGAAGGGGCCTGTACATCGCCGGCGTTGGGGTCCATAGGCACTCTCTGGCCAATTTCCGGAATACCTCCTTCGTCGCCAAGGTGTAATGACGACCGATGATTGGTCGACGCAGTAGAAGATCCGCGACGAGAGCCGTTAGTCCGTGAATACCTGGATCTACAGTGGTCCGTCTCATCGTGGCCAGGGGATACGGCTTTCCCGAAGCCCGCAGCGGCAGCCTGATGCAAGTCGGTTCGGGTGACAGCTGCCACCTGGGCTTTGACGGTGGAAGTCGGCAATGAGGGCCTGGGAGCGTGAATATGTAGATCCTGGTGCACATTCCGCGTCTCCACAGGCTGCTCTTGTCTTTGTCCCTGGTCATCCCAACTGGCATTCTGGTATAGCAAACTCTCATATTCCTCTCCTTCTTGCCCAACAGATGGTAGACTAACGCTAGGAGGACGAGCTGGAGTTTGAGATCTCGAGGCATCCTTTGAGCGAGAGCGTGCTGGACCCAGGCCCGTTGGCAATTCGTTCAGCGGTGACGGAGCATAGCTGTCGCGGCTAAGAGAAGCAGGGCAATCAACGCGGCGACTGGTTGGACGGGGTGGAACTTTTGGCATCTCGGGGTTTCGAGATGAGGGATTAGGAGAACGGGATGGCCGAGGAGGAACCGTGGGAAACGTATTTGTTGACATTTTCCTTAATTGACTGTTAGGAAATAATGGACGGTCAGGAAAATGAGAGGAAACTGATAGTTCGATTAGTCTCTGCCAGGATCTTGGGAACCAAGTTTAGCAAGGACTGCAAAACTGCTCTTCCACGGAATGTATTGAACTGCGAAAGGTCAAGGGGAACGGATCATTCAACATCCATGCTCAACTGAAAAATCTTCCCTTTGGAAGTAATATTGTATTTCTTTT